CTTTCTATTGAAACTAAAAACTGTATTCAACTAACTGTTAATCTGCAAAGGCATTAACTATACATGAATAAGGAATTATGAAGAGAAACGTATACAAACCGATGCAAGTTCTGTTGTCACTGGGGTTGAGTCGTGAGTTGGAGTCACAGTAACATTCAGGACTTCCGTTCGAGATCTTACAGGCATAGGAGCACTCCTTAGGTTGTCCAGTGGCATTACAAGGATCATAATTAAGGTCTGAAGCACGGCAAATACAAGGAAATTAATTACTGAAGCCTCAAGATCTTTCTTACATCAATAATCAGATTGAAGTTTTGACATCAATAATCATACTGAAGTTTTGATAAAGTACTGTAGATTCCTTATTTTTCGAGAGTACTTTTTATCGCGAACTGGGTCTTCAAAGTCAAATCGCGAGAATTATTATTCGCAAATGGACGGTTGATTAACGGAATTTACATAGATTTCAGCACCATAAAAATAAAAGCGAGTAATATTTTTTCGAGAGTGTCGCTTCTCGCGTAATTACGCGGAAATTAATTCCTTGCATATAATAAGGAATCTACAGTAACAGTGTTTGGCTTTACTGAATCACACAGTGGACAGTTTAGATTCAACATGCATACATGTCTAAGAACTTATTTCTAGTTTCTACAAATGACAGGATCCAGGATACCTTGGATACAGGTGTGAAGGTCCTCTGCCAGTTTGAAGCCTGGATTACACTGGCAGTGGTAACTTCCTGAAGTGTCCACACAAATCTGTTGACAGTCATCAGTCCTAAGATTACACTCGTCAACATCTGAAATGTAATTTTGTGTTATTTAAAAAATGTACAGTAATTGGTGGGCATATGATTAAACTTCAATTTCTTAACCAAAGTTAAGTTTAAAAACTTTTCCAAACACTTCATCAGAATAAGAGTCTCTTACTTTTGCAAGTTTTGTTGTCATTTTCCAGTTGGAATCCATCACTGCATGCACAGCTAAATCCTCCCTTGATATTCTGACAGCGCTGGGAACAGTCATGCTGGTTAGTCGCACACTCATCAATATCTAAAAAACAATATCATTATAATCATCATATGCGATAAGCAACAAGTTCGACCTTACTTTCACCTCAAATGCTCACATTCTGTTCTTGAACTGCTTTTTATAAAACGTAAGATAAAATCTGTTTACAGGTTTTAACCTAGGATTACATAGCAAAACAAGAAAACAATATACCGTATCAGTGGAAATTTTAGCGAGATGCAAATTTAGCGATTTCTACCTAAGAACTTGTGTCTTATTTTTAGCGAGATGCAATTTTAGCGATTTTTAAATGCTAGCCAAAGAAACAAAGAAACTAAAAGAAATAATACACTATTAATTTTTAGCGATATTCAATTTTAGCGATGTCAGCACCCTTGCTAATAATGCCAAAATTAAATACTTGCTAAAATTTCTACTTATACGGTAAAAGTCCTTTGATTTTCCTTAAAATTTTTCACTTTTTTTAATTTACAAATTGTTTCCAAAAAATGTGCCTTCACTCCGCTTGGAATTCATGCTAAATGTCCACTTCCCTCTATGCTTAATTTATTATGTACATGTACAAGAAACTTTATAAAATATGATTTCTTCTTTATTGAGAAAACGAAAATAAAACTTTCAAAATGAAGCAGTAAATGCTTTATACCAGTACACTCTGTCTGACTGTTAGAGACTTTAGTGTATCCACTCTCACACTGACAGATGTAGGACGGCTCTCGGTTTACACATTTAGAGTTTGGTCCACAGTTGTTGGTCGAGTCGTTGTGACACTCGTTGATGTCTACAGAGCAGTCTGAGCCGGTCCAGCCAGTGCCACAAACACAGCCAATCACTGAGTCACAGTATAAAACACCCGCTCCACAACTGCACTGGTTCTCACAAGAGCTTCCCCATCTGTCTGTCTTGTTGCAACCTGAAAGGCAATGGTAAATAAATGTACATTCAAATATTTAAAACTTTATATAAGACAAATTAATCAACCTGAACTAGGCACTGCAAAATACAATGTATATATAACTACCTAATGAAAATTTTCTTAAATACCAGAAACTGTAACCCATTCTTTCCATAAATTTCTTATTCCTTTGCAATTGCAGATCACAGAATCATATTCATCAGAATTCTGTAGTTTGATGATGCTAGGGCTTATAGTTACTTGGAAATGAAACCTGCACCAGAAACTTTAACCTGTTCACTCAAGCGGAAAATGTAGGTCAGATTCAGCATCCGAAGCAAGCCCGGTAGTGTGCATCCTTAGATGTATCATCCATGCAAGTTTGGTCAACATAGGGCTTATAGTTACTTGGAAATGAAACCTACACCAAAAACTTTAGCCTGTTCACTCAAGCGGAAAATGTAGGTCAGATTCAGCATCCAAAGCAAGCCCGGTAGTATGCATCCTTAGATGTATCATCCATGCAAGTTTGGTCAACATAGGGCTTATAGTTACTTGGAAATGAAACCCACACCAAAAACTGCACCAAAAATGTTAACCTGCTCCAAAAACATTAACCTGGTCATTCCTTTGCTGAAATTGCAGCATCTGAAACTTTGTCTGGTACAATAAAACACACTAAAACCATCTTCCATGCATGTCTAATCAGTATAGGACACAGAAGTAATTAAAAAGAAAACTGCCTTGATGACTTACTCTGACATGTTTTCTTATCTGCCAGGAGGGCAGACCCAGCTGAACAAGAACAAAAGAATCCCCCTTCTGTGTTGTTACAGACTTCTGAGCAGCCATCTATAGACTCGGCACATTCATCAATGTCTACAAACAAAGGTACAAATATATAGTGTGCAGAATTAAAATATATCTAGAATATTAACTATTTAATACAATTAATGTATGCAATGTACTATAATAAAAAAGAATCCATTATCACAGGTTAATTAATGCATTAAATGAAAATTTACTAGTAAAAAGTTTTCCTACACATAATGTAAGCAAATTGTATCATAACTGGATGGATTAGATTTTGAATATCTGCAGACTTGCCATATTTAATTATAAAACAATCTCAATTTAGGCCAAAGCAAATCCAGTACTATCAATATGAAAATATATATATAGACATGGTTGCTAAAAAACAAATATATGGTTTAATTTATAGCAGATTAAAACTGATTTGTACAATACCTGTACAATTCCTGGATGTTTGATTAAACTGATAGCCTTGGTTACAGAAGCAGTATGGTGATCCAGAGCTGTTTGTTGTACACCCTCCTACACTGTTATCACAGGTAATGGTGGCTCCTTCACAGGGATTGGAGGCTGTTTATATAAAAGCAAGCACATGAGCTCACAGCAAGCACAACATGAGCACACAGAATAATATCTCTTCAAGATACTCTTTCTTATACCCTCCTCTCCTATTTAGTAATTTGGGAATACATATATATTCATTCATGTTCTTAAAGAACTAAACATAGTTGCTTGGGAATAAGACCTGTCCCTAAACCTTTATTTCAATCTACTCCAAAAATTTCACCTGGTCATTTTTATGGTAAATACTTATTAATCTGGCTTCAAATATAGCATCTGAAACCAATAATTGGTACAGAAAAACATACTAGATGAATCATCCATGCATCTCTGATCAATGAAGGACTTAGACAGAATACAAGTCCTATACATTAAATCTGGGATAATTACCAACATCTTTGAGGTGAGCTAGTATAGTATCAATATAACAATAACACAATACAACACATCTAAAAAGTAAGAAAATTAAAAACAAGAGGCCCAAGGGCCTTGAATCGCTCTTCTGATAAATTGTACAACCTATCACTTCTATTTGAAGCCTCTAACCCTAAGTATTCTAAGAGCCAAGTTGCATCAACTGACAAAGTTTGATGATTCTTAGCCAATTATAACTGAAGATATTTTAATAAAGCTATAAAAAAAAACCATAAGTAGGTCACAATGACCTACTTTAAGATTGAAGTTTTCTGAGGACTCAAGATGCATTAATAGACAAAGATTGAAGATTCTAGGCCAATAAGTATGTGAGATATTCAAAAGTAAGGCACATTAATTTTATCTACATTCTTGGAAAAACCAAAATGCATCAACTGACAAAGTTTGATTATTCCAAGCCAATAAGTACTGGAGATACTTAATTATAGCCATAAAATGTTAAAAGTAGGTCACTGTGATCTAATTTTTAGTAGGCAATTTTTGAAAGCCCAAAATACATCAACTGACAAAGTTTGATGATTCTCAGCCAATATGTATCTGAGATATTCAAAGTAAGTCACCATGCCCTACTTTTTGGTTGACATTCTCTGAAAACCCAAGATGCATCAACTGACAAAGTTTGATGATTCTAAGCCAATAAGTACCAGAGATCCTTAAATAAAGCCATAAAATGTCTGCCAAAACATAAAATCATATTAATTTCAGAAAATATCAAATACAAGTTGTCTAGCATGTATTTGAACTTGATTTATCACAGCTCAATAATGAAAGTATTCAGCTTTGCTACATTTATCAGGTAAATCTACAATGAAACTTTTTAAATGTTTCATAACAATAATACACATGTATCAATAAATTGAAAGAAGACCTACTTTTACAATCTCCTGAAGTGTCATTCCTTTGGTAACCCAAGCCATCAACTCACAAAGTTTGATGATTCCACACAATTTTCCGAAGATCCCTCAAATAAAGCCATAAAATGTCAAAAGTAGGTCACCGTGACCTACATTTTAGTCAGCATTTTTCAAAGTCCCAAGATGCATCTGACAGACCAAGTTTGATGACTTTGGATCATGCCAAGATAATGAAAACATTCTGGGTACAGTCACATGACTGGTTACAGTTCACACCCCAATGAACAGCATCACAAGCTACAAGATTAAATTAAACACAACTGATGCAAATTACTTTTAAGTACAAACCAATTTTATAATTTTAAACTGTCCATCAAAAATTTTTTTCTTCCATGAAAAAGAAATTACATGTGCAGGATTTTTGATCAGACATCAGCTGGAAGCCAGGATAGCAGCTACAGGAGAAACCTCCCACTGTGTTGGTACAAATTTGAGGACATTTCTTACTGGTTTGTTCTGCACACTCATTTATATCTACAGTACAGAAATCAAAACCAATGTTAACAATTTACTAGTATCTATATTTTCTAAGTATGATATTATTACCCATAAATTAATTTCAAAGATACATCAGATACAGAAATGATTATTCATTTTTTTATGCACAAGTGGATTTTGTAAGATCAATTTATTTGCATCTTCATATTCTACCATGCTTATGTATTGTGCGTACCATTGCAACTTTTCCCATCTTGTGCCAGAGTATATCCCTCATCACAGTGACATTTTGGAGACCCAGATTCCAGTGTGCAGGAATGTGAACAATTATGTGCTGAACAAGTAGGGCTTACAGCATCTATAGAATAGAGAGAAAATATCAAAGCAATATTGTACAAAAATATCAAATTTATTCAAAATGTTCCACATTAGATTTTTTGTTTCAAAGACATCCATGTTTTTCTTTAAATTTTATGCATTTCTCAGTTTTAATTAATTTGTAAGCACAATTGTTTAATCCTCTTTAAGTTTCAGCAGTGTTGGATTACTTATGTTCATCTATCCCCCCCTTTTCTTCTCCATTCACTAACCTGCTTGGCACATTTTGTTATCTGAGTTCAGACTGTACCCCTCTCTGCAGTAACAATTATAACTTCCATCTGTGTTGTTACAGAGTTGTTGACATCCACTTGTTTGTTCAAAACACTCATTCACATCTAAAAAGTAACAAAACATTGAATGTGACCTCCTCTTCAACCTTGTACAACAACAATAGCACTCAACGCATTTCCATGTATCTTTTCAAATAGACATTTGCCAGAAATTCTATATTCAATTATGTACTCTCAAAACTCAGTCCATAAAATGCACATATTTTTATTTGAATCTTAAGACCTTGTTTCACATTTCCCCCTGAGTTACCATTTTTCATGGTTTAATGCTTTATTATACCTACCAAGACAGGCCTGGTTCTGGTTGACATCAGTACGATACCCTGGCTCACAGCTACAGCTGAAGGACCCAAGAACATTTGTACAAATCTGGTGGTCAGAGCATTGACTGCTACTGCTACATTCATCTACATCTGTTAACAAAAATGATACACTGAAGGATTTTGCCATTCAGATCTATTATGCTTTTATTTTTTTTCTTTATTTAATTTTTAACATATTTTTAATATATTTTTCACATGTACCGGTACATTTGTGTATATAAAATGTTCATTTCCTTACCCACACATTTCCTCTCATTGCCATACTTGTAGCCGACTGGACAAGCACTGCACTGGAAGGCCACCCCCGTGTTGTTGTGATCTGTCGGGGAGTTATCTGTACATATAAAAGGGGGCTGACACGGGTTGTCATGACAACCATCCACGTCCACGGAGCAGTCAATACCTACAGTATTGGTATGCAAATTTTAATACAAGATGAACTTAAAAATACCAGACACATAGTTACAATGATAATTCATTTCTTTATGGTCACACCCGATTTTGTAACCCATAACCCGATTATTAATGTAAATGACCCGGCATACCATGCAGCTTCACCCATCTTGTGCAAGAGACCAACAGTGAATATTTCCCGATTTCCAGTGATTTGGTGTGAACAATTATGTGCTGCACTTTTACCTTCCAGTTACAACCCAAGCTTAGATCTACGTAAACAATGCCGATGGATTAATTATCAGTGCAGGTGTAAACAATTAATTTGGGTGTTGTTTTGACAAATCAATGTTTGAAGTCAATTAAAATGACTTCCGATAGAACTAGATCGTTATCAGGGCCAGCAGGAACAAACTGAACCAAACACATGTCTCTGATTGAACCAAGAAAAAGAGAAACAATATTTATATAGGCCTACATCTTTGAAAAAAACTTTCATTCTAGATAAACTAAAGTGATCGAAGACAGTGTAGGCCTAACTTCACATTTAAATATATACACATTGCAGTAGTTAATTAATTAAGTGAGAGGAAAAATAACTTCAAAACTACAATTGGTATACTTTCAAATTAAGCAGAAACTGAAAAGGCTTTTTAAAAAAATGGACACTTACTTCAGGTCAATACTGAAGTATGAAACCTTCAATTGTCTTTTTTAACATGTAAATTTAATCAAATTATGTATGAATTTTTTGTCATTGTAAATTTAAGCCTTTTTCAATAATGGAATTCTCAATACACAAAAACTTTGTATATATATAATTATGTATAAAATTTAATCATGGTAAGTATGTCGTGAATGTCGTTACGCGTTATGACCAGATTTTTTACTTTCCAAATCTGGTCATGACCAGATTTTTACATGCTGGAGGTTGGCAAGTATGGACAAAGGGACAATAGAACAGTTTCACATGTATGGACCAAGATAAATTCCATTATAGCTAGGCTTTAATCTTATGATCATGATAACTTAAATTTCCATTATATATGAAGGCTCCTAAATTCATAGTTAGGTAATTGATTGTTCAAAAATATTTCAAATATTATGAACAGATGTAAATGAAATTTAAAACTTGTGATGACTTAACCCCCTTCCCCGCAGTCATGCATTTTAACGCATATACCATTTCCTATTTCTAATGCAAAATCATGCATATTAATTATTATACCGTTTCCCAACAATTATGCATCTTCTCGCACTTCAAAAAGTTTGTTTAATCTTCAATTTAATGCCAATTTCCTTTGATGTTATACTTGCTAAAATCTCATAAAATAAGAAAAGTTATTTTCTTATTAAAATATTACGTCATAATAGTATTTACGTGGTATAAATTAAGAAAATCCGCGTAATTTACGCCCACCAAACTTTAGTACTCAATATAAATGTAAGAAACTTGTACTGCACTAAAAAGTGCTTAAGGGTATGTTGCAATAGTTGCATAACAGTTTAGTAAGTTGTAGAGTTAATGTGTATGAAGAATTGGATTGCCTACCTTCATAACCAATGTTACAGATGCAAGGTGCAGTAAACTGGTTGGGTGTTGATGTTGGTTTTGGGTGATCAAAGTCACAGGTTCCATTACCAGAACAGCCAGAACATTTGACGATAATCACTGTGAGAGTGTTAGAGGCAGATCCTGCATTGTCAACAGCCCAGAAACTATAGGAAAGACAATTTAACCACTCAGTTACAACAAATATACAACTGAAATCATTTATTAGAGAGTTAAAGAACGAGAGATAAGCAAACTTTGTTTTTCACACAACACTCACCTGATATGGTAAACTCAGGTTATAATTAATAAACTTGTAACAAATTAAACCAAAACAACGCGTCAAGTTAATGCACATGTACATGTATCATGTGTATATCATAACTAAATTAATCAATATCTGCAAAGGTTACCTAATTTGTTGGTCATCCGTTGTAGGAAGATATGTGTAGGATATGTTGGCAGTGCCCTTCCCAGTAGAATTACTATCTGGGCTCACTGCAGTGACCAAGTTTCCATCTGAGTCAGTGGCCTGTACCACAAGTATTAGAGGCTGTCCTATTGTGGCATTGACAAGCAGAGCCCCCGTTATTTCAGGAGCTGTGTTAGCTACAATAAATCATATACATGTACAGCTGCTCGTCACATAATGGTATGCACTTCTGATGATAGAAGTACTGTTTTCCTCAACTTCATAAATGTGTACGATGTTTTGAATCCTAAATTTATTGCTGACAAAATTGCTACACTTAAAGCCTTTTTAACAAATGCAGACCTGTTTACCCATATCGTTGTTTCTCAGTAATTTTGATGAAATCTGTCTGTGAGATTTGGCATTTGCCAGTAAGATTTCATTTTTCATTGATTTTACATATATCTATGGAGACTGTTTCTCTGATTACTAAGTCGCTGGCGTGGCAGAGTAGACTTGATCCTTACATCGAGGGTTCGGATCAACTGAGTCTGACATTTATAACCTGACTCCAATCTTCTAATGGAATCATGAGTCTTATTCTAAAGATTAAAAGGAGGTCCCACAGCTGGCACGAATATAAGATCTCCCACCTCTCAATGGCCCGATAGAGGACAAAATTGTGTGTTTTCTCCACCGGCAACTTGTGGCGTTTCCATATGAGTGAAAGACTTTCGAGAAGGACATTAAACAACGTACAATCAATCAATCTGATTACTTAAACGAACATCACGAAAACTAACTGCAAAATTACGAACAAATGAATTACCGATTTCCGTATTTTCGTAACATGAAGACGTCAGACGTATTTTGTACTAAAAATCTGTATAAAATACGGCGAAATTGTAAGAGTAAACAGGTCTGCAAATGATTTTGCAGTGGATTTCCAGACTGATATATACCTGCTTGTAGTTTCCTCAGTTCTAAAGCTTCAAGGATGTTCTTAGAATTCTCTGCTATATCCTTATTATTGGTAGCAAGGTAATCATAAAGACAGCCAGCATCCCCCTTACATGTCTCATTTGCTTTCTCAATCAACGTAGCATTGAAATCTTCCAGAAAGATTGGCGTAAAACTGCTGTTTTGAAACATCCCACAATTTTCTCCAACTCTATAGGTAAAAATGGAATTGGCACAATCTAGCCGCCCTGGAAAAAAAAAGATTGTTGATCAAATGGTTTGTCTGATTCACTCCTAACCTATCTCCAAACTTCAAATGGAACCATGAGTCTTATTAAAGAATGTTTTGGTATCCAGCACATATCAGAACAGCATGTAATATATATTATGTAAATTTGATCTGTCAGACAATTTTTATCTTCTTATGTCAGTGTAATAATCATTTTAAGATAATGTGTAACATTTGATTTTACTAGATTAAGAATAATATATACATGTATCAGCATAATGCTGATTTTTGTAACAAACAGAATTTCGTATCTAGGAGTTGTTGCCCTTTTCAAGCAATGCTTACAAGATTCTCCAAAGTTGTAGTATATTTCCTTTTCACTGGAACGTTCTGACATCACTGTTCCATTTCTCAAGGTCAAATCATCTGTGGGGTCATCATTAATATTTCCCAAAAGTCCTCCGTTTTCGGTCTTGATTGATAAAGACTTTGGAATGAGGATATTCAAATCCAGCATTTGGACTTCATATGATATTTGTAAAGCTATTTCTGAAAATCAAATAAATTTTTTTTTTAATTTTGTTACAAAATCAGTGAACATTTTCAGGCGAAAAAATAATAATTGTTGATTTTTTGAAAAATAACAGAAATTTAGCTTATATTCTTTCATTATCTCTTCATATCTAAAAAATATTAATCAAGGAATAAGTCAAAATCAAAATTAAGTTTACAGATACTTGTATTGTCTTACCTGAAGGGAAAAGAATCAGCACTGAATGATTGCCAGCATGATATCTAGAGAGTCGAAGTTTATTGTTCAAGGAACATAGGTAACTGGTATCACTGTAGAACTCATTGGTGACATCAAGCCCATTACAATACACAATTATACCTACAAAATAAAAAATATAGATTAAGACAAAAAATAATCCTAGAAATGAACAATACATACCTACTCTTTAGAATAATAATTAAAGGATGGCACAATATATTTTTTTTTTTTTTTTTGGTGTAAATTTGTTTATTATACAGTTAAAGTATATGATTGAGGGAATTAGCAAGATTCCGCTTCCCCAATGCCAGATCTATTTCCCAAGGCGAAGCTGAGGGAAACAGTCCTGGTCGAGGGGAACTTGAATCTTGTTAACTCCTGCAATGATGTACTTTGAACTGCTTTATTATACCATTACAATTGTTTAATTTAGAGGATTCAGATAGCATGATTTCAAAGAAGGGATTAGCTCAATGAACTAACACACGGGGATTTGTCCATTCACATATCATACCTATGTAAAATTAAAATCTAGAGGATTAACTCTTTTCCCCTTAGACCTTTCCCTCCTTTACCCCTTAATGACGACTTTTGACGCCTAGCCCCCAACTCTTAATGACGACTTTTGACGCATGTGTATTTCATTGTTGATTTGACTTGAAATTACCGCTTGTATACGAATTATTTGAGCACAGGTGGCCACCTGCAGTTTAACAATAGATGATTGCATCATACTACCGTTAGAAATCACGTGATTTACCTGTGTAAACAAACAAGTCCCACCAAAATTCAAAATGGCGGACTGTTACATACGATGTTTTTTGAGCATATAACTCAGTCAATAGGCAATATTTTCTCATCCAGTAAAGCAGTACATGAAGATCAAGCTATAAACTACCTATTTCTTGAAAGGTTTAAAAATTATAATGATCTATATGTGTTTTATACTCCAACATAACACGAAAATTTTGTGAAGTACACCGCGCAGTGCCGATTTCGTTACCTGTTTCTCACAAATTCAGAACATACCTTCCAGTTTATACATATTTATAAATGTAAAGGTGTAGGAAATAATTATTTTAATAGAATTGGATCATTAAAGTATCCAAAAACGTCCAGAAATCAAGTTTTAGCACACAAGTCTAAAAATTTGTTGGCGAGATTGACATAGAAGTAGCACTGCAATTTATTGATTTCTGAGGAATTAAACCAGAGACATATATGTTTTATATGTCTCTGATTAAACTTATAAAATTGATAATAAATGATAATTTAACCATCAATTATATCATCACACATAATTTTTATTATTTATACAGACAATTTTGGCTTATCAAAGTCGTTTTACATGTTGAAAATATCTATTTTGCTACTTTCACCTGAATTATTTATTTACATATAACTCCGATCAAAATTTTGCAAATAGATTTTAAAACTTTAATTAATATTACGAATCCAATGACATATAATACATAGCATAAATAAATTTTTTTGACCCTTATTAGTTCAGTTTTAAACTGCACTCAACTAAAACGCTCTAAGGGGCAGCCAGGCAAACACTCTAAGGATATGGCCAGTGCATCAAATCGTGGCATTAAGGGGTAAAGAGTTAAGGATAACCAGGAATTAAGCTTTCGACCCAGGAATTAGCTAACATGACTAAAGCACGAGGATTAGTCCATTCATGAAAATTTCTAGGGAATTAGTCACATCTAAGGATCTACTGTTAGATACTAGGGAAAAAATCAGTAGAGTTATAATTTACTAGCTATAGTTTAACAAACAAAGAAAAACACAGGATTTAACAGCAAATATGAAAATGGTGTGCAGAGCTAACTGTGTTGAATACAAGTTTTTCTTCATTACTTTCACAGTTAACAATTTCTAAGACTGTACCATTTTTTTCCAGGTTGACTTCAACTTGGGCAGTGACATTGTGCTCTCCTCTTGCAGCAAAAGCACTGAATATAGTGGCATGGACATCAGCACCAGTTATACTTTGTGCTAATGTTGTACGGGATTGTAGCTCAAAAATGGTCGATTTACTAGAAATGTTTTTGACTTCAAGCATGGTGTATTCACCGAGACCATTGTACGTGTATTTCAGGCCATCTATAGTGTTTATATGTGGATCTCCATAGCTGGCTCCTGTAGAAAAAAATATACTTAAAATTATTTTTCTGTTGATCGTTATTTTCTTGTACATGAACGAGCATGTCAAAATATCATTTTCTAATTTTTCAAACAATCTAAAGTATATATCGACATGTAGCAAACATTACTATCATACAGGCTTTTCATCTATCTTCAATTTGAACATGATGATGCACATAAAATATCTCAATTCCCAAAAAATTATTGCAAACATGAATAAATTGATATTAATTGTAATTTTCTCATAAACTTAAAAAAAAAAAAAATAATGCATAAAACATATTGCAGGTAGATGGGCTGTACACAGGCTGTTTGACATTTTTAGTGAAATACATACCCCTTTCTGGTGATCTATAGTTCAAGCAGTTGTCTGATGTCCTCTGGGCAAAAAATACATTGCAGAGCCCTGCCTCAACACAGCACCAGTTGTATGGCACTGTGTCATAGCTCTGTGATAGGGAGGGATACAATAGAGGGTTATATAGGTAAATATAGCCAGAGCCAGCCACACCTGTCAACAAGGGCCCCTCAGCTGAGCTACTGCTGTAGCAACATTTCTACATTCAAAGACAAGCACATATAAACATATAAATAAAAAAAAACCATAAAAAATATTTATCAAAAACTAACTACCCATGAAATATACTTTAAAGTACTCCGTATGATGTCAGTCTCAAAATGTCAATTAATTTGCTGAACTGTAAACATATTTAGTGAACACATCACATATGATGCAATTATTTTTTCTTACATGCACTTGGTCATTTTCCCACAGATATACAATTTCTGTTCAATCCACAAGTAGAATATTATGCAGATTTTGGATTAACATTATAAATCCTTAATCAGGCTAATAGTTTTTAAGTATGCTATGATAAATTGTACAGAAAAATGATGGCTCATATATATGTGAAGTGGAAATTGACCAGTATGTCTACTATATATATACAAATAAATTTCTTATGCCTTACCCTAGTAAAGGTATATCCAGTGGGGGAGTGGACTTTGAAATAACAGCCTGGTTCTGCAGAGCTGGCAATAAAGCGAGGGTCCGTCCTGACCTGATGTATGTTACATGGGCATGCTACCAGCAGTGAGTGAGCCAGGGTAACTGATTCCTGCTCTGCCTTGGCTGTGGTGATTCTCCAATTCTGGCATCTCTCCACGTAGTTTATGGCAGAACTTGAACAAGTGTCCAGCTTATAAACCCACAACCCTTTGGTATTTTTAGCTGTAAAGGTTATGAAGATAAATAAGACAGCTGATCTATATAATAATACATAAATACATATACTTCCAAAAAATCAGAAATAAATTTCATGACAAAACAATGAATATTTTGAAAAATTTATATTTCCAACCTAAGGCACTTACTTTACTTTATTAAAATTGAAATAATTTTTTTAAAATCAATACCATTCCACAACACTTAATTGTTGAGCAATTTATCTATGCAACTATGTTATACCATTATCACCGCTGTTGATGACTTCATCATATATGGCATTGGTGAGGGACCCTGGATGGTTGAAGATGCTACTTGGGGAATTTCCACATTTGTAACCCAGCATTGCTGGCTTTGGAGGCAGAAAGTTCATGGCTTTGAATAAATATGCTGCATAGGTTGTCACTCCATCACTGATCAACAGGAGTTGAAAGGTAGCATTCTGATTAAGAAAATTATTATTGAATTTTACATGAGGGATTAAATGAAAATAACTCATCCATTACATCTCACACAAGGATTACAATGGTTGTTACCTGTAGAGCATGATCCCGTGCAGGAGATTGTACCACATTTTCCCAAGTGACCACAAGTGCTGTGTTTGGCTCAAAGGATCCAGCTACACTGCTATCTCGGAAGTTTTCCACAACTATTGACTTTACTTCGGTCAATACATTGGAGACATTCGCAGATCCAAATTTGTTGTACAGCTGATACCAGATTTTTGAGTCCATACTTAGGTCAACATCTGACCATAATGGTGCCACCATTTTCTGTGGATCACTGTTTGGTTTAAGGTTGGCTGGTTTTTGACTTTCATAGTTTGAATCAAATGTAATGTATCCATTGGTATAAATCTGAAAGGAGCAGGAACATACATGTACATACTACTTTAAAAATAAAATTTATCATGTTGATAGTCAATGTTCAATTAAGAAAAATTAAGCAAAATGCTCGCAGCAGCCCAAAGCTTACAAAGTGAAGGGCCTGACTAGGAATTGGCTTATTTTGCCCTTATAACATTATTAATTACAGAAAGAGCTAATGGTTGCTATATTTTTGAGTTGACATGCTGAGAATTTTATTTTATTTTATAACCATTAACATGATTAAAATTTATCATTCTGCATGATCTGGTTAATGACATATATTGTTTCAATAGTTGAATCCACACTTTTTAAAAGTTATGTCCCTTGGTCGCCATCTTTTTGGGGAAAAACCCATAGAATCCTCACAGTAGCCTTTATAGTTTTCTGACTTGTAACTTTGTCATCTGGTTAGAAAAATTAAGTGCATCTTGTAAATGATTGCCCCAAGATGGGGCTATACCCATATATCATGATATAGCAAAAGAAAATTTTTTAACACAGTGGATTTATCAGAGCACACCCAAATGTTTAGTAACATAAAGAGCCGTAAAAGAGGAGAACTGTCATTTCTTTCCCTTTTGGTTGACCATGACGTTGACCCCAAAAAGGGACATAACTATTGCAAAGTGTGGATTGGACTATTATGACACTTTTCATTCATGAATAATTTTGAAATTGTAAAAAAAATGTCCCCATGTATTCCTCACACATTTGAAAAAGATGAAATCATCAGGCTGCGGGATAATGAAACAGACTTAATTGTTAATGCTTAAACAGGTTCTACTATATTCATTCAACAGTCCAATCCATAGGTTACAAAAGTTGTGTCCCTTTGCAGGGTCAATCAAAAGTTCAAGAAACAACGTTCCTTCTCTTAATGCTCCCAAACATTTGCAGGTGTGCTCTGTTTAAACTAATGTTTATTTTTTTTCTTTCAATGCGTGGGTAGCACCATTTTCGGACAATCAGTGCAAAAAAGGCAAAGTTTTTTCCACTCAAATTAAAAAATCACAAACTACGGTGAAGATTCTATCGGTTTTCCCCCTAAGATGGCGGCCAAGGGAAATACATGTAGGCCTGTTTGGATTCAACTATATTGAACTTTGCACCACTGCGGTTTGTTCCGATTAATTTGTCACCTTTCTTTTTGACAACCCTTATACCAGAAGATAAAACAGATAGGAAGGTAGCTTTAAAAGAAAAATACATGTATATTTAAAAGTTTAGGTGTGGTCAAATACCAGATAAAGATTAATCAAAATCCTGGGCGACCCTCCAAAATGGCGACCAGGGGAAGTAACTATACATTAAAGGATAGACCAGCATGCGGATTTTAACATGAAGCTAAATAAATGGGTCACGAACTTACCACTTATAAGCAACTTATATCACTAAATGTTAATCATAGCTCAGCATCTTATAGCTACCGTTCTGTCAAACTCCCGCCACTTTTTGAAGGAAAAGATTAACTCTTACTAGCGCACATTCGACTTTCTTGATAATTAAAAATCACATCAGGGGACGAAATGTGTGACACGAATGGCACCCTTTCAACAGTTACACACACGATTACATACATGGACAGAAGCGGAAATGATGAAGTAAAGTAATTTTCGGTCGTTATGGCATAATTATATACAAGAGCCCGAAATACTGATAGAGACGAAATCCGACTTCCCTCAGGATCACAGGTGTGTAGCGCCTTTTCTTTGTCATGTTTGTTGTAGGCCTATTTCGCATTCTGATCATGCAGGTACAGTGACATAGCGTCGTTTTTGAAATTGGGAGGGGCCAGTCAGAGAAAAAAAAACAATTTACCTGAATTAAAAAGTTGGCACCCCCCCCCCCCCAAAAAAAAGGACATCGCCTAGACTCCAAAATCTTGTTTCGTTGGGGGGGGGGGGGGTTCAATCAGTACCAATATTTTCTTCCTGAAATGCTACATTACCCTTTTTTGACCTTACTGTAACAAAGGCGGGGGGGGGGGGGGGGGGCAACCGGCCTTTCAATGAACGTTATCAGTGGTAAAAAGTAAGTTATGTTTGGGAAAAAGGGCTGTGTAGCCAGTGTAGACTAAATACAATTCAACGTGTTGTGTCCTGCATGCTCCACATTCATTTTAATATTATTTTCAAAAGAATAGGGATACACATGTATTATAAATTAAGGGCAGTTAGGGCACTGAACTTACAAAATAATACATGTATATTCCCTGTTCCCTTAACTACGATAACGGTAGAGTGCATTTCGAGAAAGGCAGTGGAAAATATTAATGGGATTTTGTAAAAAGTTCTGTAAAATTTCATGGAATGACAGTTTAGAAGTTGCGTTAACAAAATGAATATGTTTCAGCAAAAATTGCCAGAGGCGTAGTCACAAACTTAAAAGTGGGGGGGCTCAACTCCAGAAATTCTTTGACAAGCAGAAAAAAGGAAAAAAAAAAAAAAAAAAAACTTAAAAGTGGGGGGGGGGGCTCAACTCCAGAAATTATTTTACAAGCAAAAAAAAAAAAAAAAAAAAAAAAAAAAGCTGAAAGTTCCCCAAACTCGAAAATAAGGACAACTTTTTCAAAGGCAAGTTACTGTCAAATCCAATTGTACAAGGGTCAAAAAGTGGGGGGGGGGATCCATTCAATGAATATTTCCTATAGTAAAGGTAATGTTGGGGAAATTAGCTGTGATTTTCTTCTTCTTTTAAAAAGTGGGGGGGCACAGACATACTCTTGCCCCCCCACATCTGAAAGTGGGGGGGGCTAGTGCCCCCGCTGACCCCCCTGTGACTACGCCTATGATTGCTCCTACATCTGAATCAAGTAGCTGATATTGAATAAGCTTTCAAGTGTGACTGTGTATTATATATTGACTATTACTGTATACATAGGCTTAGCTGTTACAATATATAACTTGAATTTGGACAACTGTTCATCGAATTCACAACACAAACATTGTCAGCCAATACAGCTAACAGATAAACTTTTGTCGATTAATTCCTTGATTTAACATTATTATATGCACGCTTTATGTTCTGAAATATTATGCTATAAGCAACTGAGACATTTAAGACTTTTATGCTTTACTCAGTACTGCCAGGGTTAATTTTGAATTTTGTACTGAATTTCAATAGTACCGCTACATTGATACTCACAAAAATTCTGTTGGAAACTACGCAGTCACACGTGACTCCTATTGGGTTGTCCAGGACAGCAACCAAAAGATCGTCACCCGCTCCACCTTCTGTATCTCCTGCCGCGGATCCAAAGGGGTGTAATGTAGTGGATTCTGTTTAATTACATCGATTAAATATTTTAAATAAAAAAAATAATACGCGAGAGAGAGAGAGAGAGAGATGTATATTATATATAGTGTAAAGTCTTACATGTGCTTTTCAGCTGAAACTACACATTTCAAAAGAAATATGTAGCATTTCAATGAAAAAAGTAGTACCTGCTATTGACACCGTAGTTAAGGGTACTATAGTTGTGCTCGAAATCGTTTCCGTTGTTGTTGTGAATCCAGAGGTACTACTTTCGGGACTGCTTCCTGATGTACGCGTTGTTCTCGTTCCTGTCGTAAAAGACATGTAAGGTTTTAATAAATTAAAGATAAATACAGGATTGAAGAGCTAACGATAAACACTTTTTCCAAAATATACGAAAATTTTAATTATTTAAATATTAGTAATATGAATAAGTTTAAACGCGTAAATTGATTTTTTTTAAATTAAAGTCTTTAACAATAATGTCCAATAAAATTATAAAAGAATTATAGAATTTTTAACATCAAAGAAAGATAGCAATTACTAGTACATGTATATCAAAATATTTTAGAAATAGTTATTTGTTATTTGAATTGTTAAATAAAAGTGATATCGATCCCATCGTCTCAAGCCACGGTTCGTAGTCTGCATATAGCTCTCTCCTATCCGTGCCTCACAAAAAGTGTCGTGATCTTGAATAATTACGTTTCTCTATTGTGACGTCATATATATATATATGTATATTCAGTCAATGACAAGTTTTGTTTCCATCGTACACTGCGATTGGGTATTGAAAGTTCGCATCAAACTTCATTATCCGACTATGTTTTACTCGCGTTGGTCAATATTATAATGAGCTTCGAAAATTTTCTTCTCATGCAACTGCGGCCAGGATGGGAGAGGATCGTACATTTTGGCCGTGGTTTGCGACGATGTATCGATCCCAACATGCAAACTTAAACTTAACGTGACCTGACAACTAGATAAAGCTTTTTAGTCAAAGTAAAATGTTATAAATACAAAATAGAACTTATTGTTAGTGATACATAAATACATCCAACCAAAGGTAAGAAAGATGGTTAATTTCAAGGAAAAGTGATTTTTATGTTTTCTAGGATGCCTATAAAAAGTAGTAAGCGTGATTTGCTCTACACATCCATGCAGCTGTATACTTCAGTATGTCAAAATATGTGTAAAACATCTTTATTTAATAAGTGATAGGTAAACAGACATATATATTACATAACTCACCACATTACACGTGACTTAAAAATATTCTGGAATGTGCAAATGTTATGTAAAACATAAAAAAAGATCAATTGAAAACTCGCCTTCTTCAACAGAGGTTGAAAGAAAGTGTGTTGCAGAAGTGTTAGCTGCAAATGTTGTGCTGCTTAGAGTTGTTGGAACAGCTGTGGTGCTTTCTGTAGCTGTTGTGCTGGCTTCAGTACTGCTTGTTGTTGCGCTGGTTTCACTTGTGGTGCTAGGTTGTGTACTTGTTGAAGTGACTTCAGCGGTAGTGCTGCTGACAGTGGAGGACTCCGTGCTGCCAATTGTTGAGGTTGTTGTGTCTGCAACTGCGGATATAAATGTAGCTTCAGTTGTAGAGGTGCTGGCTTCACTTGTGCTGCTTACAGTTGTTGGAACAGCTGTGGTGCTTTCTGTAGCTGTTGTGCTGGCTTCAATACTGCCTGTTATTGCGCTGATTTCACTTGTGGTGCTAGGTTCTGTACTTGTTGAAGTGAGTTCAGTGGCTGTGCTGCTGACAGTGGAGGACTCCGTGCTGCCGATTAATGAGGCTGTTGTGTCTGCAACTGTGGATACAAATGTAGCTTCAGTTGCAGAGGTGCTGGCTTCACTTGTGCTGCTGTCAGTCGTTGGAACAGCTGTGGTGCTTTCTGTAGCTGTTATATTGGCTTCAGTACTGCTTGTTGTTTCGCTGGTTTCACTTGTGGTGCTAGGTTCTGTACTTGTTGAAGTGACTTCAGCGGTAGTGCTGCTAACAGTGGAGGACTCCGTGATGCCAATTGTTGAGGTTGTTGTGTCTGCAACTGTGGATGTAAATGTAGTTTCAATTGTAGATGTGCTGGCTTTACTTGTGCTGCTTACAGTTGTTGAAACAGCTGTGGCGCTTTCTGTAGCTGTTGTGCTGTCTTCAGTACTGCTTGTTGTTGCGCTGATTTCACTTGTGGTGCTAGAATCTGTACCTGTTGAAGTGACTTCAGCAGTAGTGCTGCTGACAGTGGAGGACTCCGTGCTGCCAATTGTTGAGGTTGTTGTGTCTGCAACTGTTGATGTAAATATAGTTTCAATTGTGCTGCTGTCAGTCGTTGAAACAGCTGTGGTGCTTTCTGTAGCTGTTGTGCTGGCGTCAGTACTGCTTGTTGTTGGGCTGGTTTCACTTGTGGTGCTAGGTTCTGTACTTGTTGAAGTGACTTCATCGGTAGTGCTACTGACAGTGGAGGACTCTGTGCTGCCAATTGTTGAGGTTGTTGTGTCTGCAACAGTGGATGAAAATAGAGCTTCAGTTTTAAAGGTGCTGGCTTCACTTGTGCTGCTTACAGTTGTTGGAACAGCTGTGGTGTTTTCTGTAGCTGTTGTGCTGGCTTCAGTACTGCTTGTTGTTGCGCTGGTTTCAATTGTAGTGCTAGGTTCTGTACTTGTTGAAATGACGTCAGCGGTAGTGCTGCTGACAGTAGAGGACTCCGTGCTGCCAATTGTTGAGGTTGTTCTGTCTGCAACTGTGGATGTACTTGTAACTTCAGTTGTAGAGGTTCTGGCTTCACTTGTGCTGCTTACAGTTGTTGGAACAGCTGTGGTTCCTTCTGTAGCCGTGTTGCTGGCTTCAGTACTGCTTGTTGTTGCGCTGGTTTCAGTTGTTGTGCTAGGTTCTGTACTTGTTGAAGTGAGTTCAGCGGCTGTGCTGCTGACAGAGGAGGACTCCGTGCTGCCAATTATTGAGGCTGTTGTGTCTGCAACTGTGGATGTAAATGTAGCTTCAGTTGTAGAGGTGCTGGCTTCACTTGTGCTGCTTACAGTTGTTGGAGCAGCTGTGGTTCCTTCTGTAGCCTTGTTGCTGGTTTCAGTACTGCTTGTTGTTTCACTGATTTTACTTGTGGTGCTAGGTTCTGTACTTGTTGAAGTGACTTCAGCGGTAGTGCTGCTGACAGGGGAGGACTCCGTACTGCCAATTGTTGATGTTGTTGTATCTGCAACTGTGGATTTAAATGTAGCTTCAGTTGTAGAGGTGCTGGCTTCACTTGTGCTGCTGTCAGTCGTTGTAACAGCTCTGGTGCTTTCTGTAGCTGTTATGCTGGCTTCAGTACTGCTTGTTGTTGCGCTGGTTTTACTTGTGGTACTAGGTTCAGTACTTGTTGAAGTGACTTCAGAGGCAGAGCTGCTTACTGTCAAGGACTCCGTGCTGCCAATTGTTGAGGTTGTTGTGTCTGCAACTGTGGATGTAAATGTAGTTTCAATTGTGCTGCTGTCAGTCGTTGAAACAGCTCTGGTGCTTTCTGTAGCTGTTGTGCTGGCGTCAGTACTGCTTGTTGTTGCGCTGGTTTCACTTGTGGTGCTAGGTTCTGCACTTGTTGAAATGACTTCAGCGGCTGTGCTGCTGACAGTGGAGGACTCCGTGCTGCCAATTGTTGAGGTTGTTGTGTCTGCAACTGTTGATGTAAATGTAGTTTCACTTGTGCTGCTGTCAGTCGTTGAAACAGCTCTGGTGCTTTCTGTAGCTGTTGTGCTTTCTTCAGTACTGCTTGTTGTTGTGCTGGTTTCAATTGTAGTGTTAGGTTCTGTACTTGTTGAAGTGACTTCAGCGGTAGTGCTGCTGACAGTATAGGACTCCGTGCTGCCAATTGTTGAGGTTGTTGTGTCTGCAACTGTGGATGTAAATGTAACTTCAGTTGTAGAGGTGCTGGCTTCACTTGTGCTGCTTACAGTTGTTGGAACAGCTGTGGTGCTTTCTGTAGCTGTTGTACTGGCTTCAGTACTGCTTGTTGTTTCGCTGGTTTCACTTGTGGTGCTAGGTTCTGTACTTTTTGAAATAATTTCTGTAGTAGTGCTGCTGACAGTGTAGGACTCTGTGCTGCTAATTGTTGAGGCTGTTGTGTCTGCAACTGTGGATGTAAATGTAGCTTCAGTTGTAGAGGTGCTGGCTTCACTTGTGCTGCTTACAGTTGTTGGAACAGCTGTGGTTCCTTCTGTAGCATTGTTGCTGGCTTCAGTATTGCTTGTTGTTTCACTGGTTTTACTTGTGGTGCTAGGTTCTGTACTTGTTGAAGTGACTTCAGCGGCAGTGCTGCTGACAGTGGAGGACACCGTGCTGCCAATTGTTGAGGTTCTTGTGTCTGCAACTGTGGATGAAAATGTTGTTTCAATTGTGCTGCTGTCAGTCGTTGAAACAGCTGTGGTGCTTTCTGTAGCTGTTGTGCTGGCTTCAGTACTGCTTGTTGTTGCGCTGGTTTCACTTGTGGTGCTAGGTTCTGTACTTGTTGAAATGACTTCAGCGGCTGTGCTGCTGACAGTGGAGGACTCCATGCTGCCAATTGTTGAGGTTGTTGTGTCTGCAACTGTTGATGTAAATGTAGTTGCAATTGTGCTACTGTCAGTCGTTGAAACAGGTCTGGTGCTTTCTGTAGCTGTTGTGCTGGCTTCAGTACTGCTTGTTGTTGCGCTGGTTTCAATTGTAGTGCTAGGTATTGTACTTGTTGAAGTGACTTCAGCGGTAGTGCTGCTGACAGTAGAGGACTCCGTGCTGACTGGCGTTGAAGTTGGTGTGTCTGCAACTGTGGATGTAAATGTAGCTTCAGTTGTAGAGGTGCTGGCTTCACTTGTGCTGCTTACAGTTGTTGGAACAGCTGTTGTGCTTTCTGTAGCTGTTGTGCTGGCTTCAGTACTGCTTGTTGTTTCACTGGTTTCAGTTGTGCTAGGCTCTGTACTTGTTGAAGTGAGTTCAGCGGCTGTGCTGTTGACAGTGGAGGACTCCGTGCTGCCAATTATTGAGGCTGTTGTGTCTGCAACTGTGGATGTAAATGTAGCTTCAGTTGTAGAGGTGATGGCTTCACTTGCGCTGCTGTCAGTCGTTGTAACAGCTGTGGTGCTTTCTGTAGCTATTATGCTGGCTTCAGTACTGCTTGTTGTTGCGCTGGTTTTACTTGTGGTACTAGGTTCTGTACTTGTTGAAGTGACTTCAGAGGCAATGCTGCTGACTGTGGAGGACTCCGTGCTGCCAATTGTTGAGGTTCTTGCGTCTGCAACTGTGGATGTAAATGTAGTTTCAATTGTGATGCTGTCAGTCGTTGAAACAGCTGTGGTGCTTTCTGTAGCTGTTGTGCTGGCGTCAGTACTGCTTGTTGTTGCGCTCGTTTCACTTGTGGTGCTAGGTTTTGTACTTGTTGAAATGACTTCAGCGGCTGTGCTGCTGACAGTGGAGGACTCCGTGCTGCCAATTGTTGAGGCTGTTGTGTCTGCAACTGTGGATGTAAATGTAGCTTCAGTTGTAGAGGTGCTGGCTTCACTTGTGCTGCTTACAGTTGTTGGAACAGCTGTGGTGCTTTCTGTAGCTGTTGTACTGGCTTCAGTACTGCTTGTTGTTTCGCTGGTTTCACTTGTGGTGCTAGGTTCTGTACTTGTTGAAATAATTTCTGTAGTAGTGCTGCTGACAGTGGAGGACTCCGTGCTGACTGGCGTTGAAGTTGGTGTGTCTGCAACTGTGGATGTGCTTGTAGCTTCAGTTGTAGAGGTACTGGCTTCACTTGTGCTGCTTACAGTTGTTGGAACAGCTGCGGTTCCTTCTGTAGCCGTGTTGCTGGTTTCAGTACTGCTTGTTGTTTCACTGATTTTACTTGTGGTGCTAGGTTCTGTACTTGTTGAAGTGACTTCAGCGGTAGTGCTGCTGACAGGGGAGGACTCCGTACTGCCAATTGTTGATGTTGTTGTATCTGCAACTGTGGATGTAAATGTAACTTCAGTTGTAGAGGTGCTGGCTTCACTTGTGCTGCTGTCAGTCGTTGTAACAGCTGTGGTGCTTTCTGTAGCTGTTATGCTGGCTTCAGTACTGCTTGTTGTTGCGCTGGTTTTACTTGTGGTACTAGGTTCAGTACTTGTTGAAGTGACTTCAGAGGCAGTGCTGCTTACTGTGGAGGACTCCGTGCTGCCAATTGTTGAGGTTGTTGTGTCTGCAACTGTGGATGTAAATGTTGTTTCAAATGTGCTGCTGTCAGTCGTTGAAACAGCTATGGTGCTTTCTGTAGCTGTTGTGCTGGCTTCAGTACTGCTTGTTGTTGCACTGGTTTCACTTGTGGTGCTAGGTACTGTACTTGTTGAAGTGACTTCAGCGGTAGTGCTCCTGACAGTAGAGGACTCCGTGCTGCCAATTGTTGAGGCTGTTGTGTCTGCAACTGTGGATGTAAATGTAGCTTCAGTTGTAGAGGTGCTGGCTTCACTTGTGCTGCTGTCAGTCGTTGAAACAGCTGTGGTGCTTTCTGTAGCTGTTGTACTGGCTTCAGTACTGCTTGTTGTTTCGCTGGTTTCACTTGTGGTGCTACGTTCTGTACTTGTTGAAATAATTTCTGTAGTAGTACTGCTGACAGTGGAGGACTCCGTGCTGCCAATTGTTGAGGCTGTTGTGTCTGCAACTGTGGATGTAAATGTAGCTTCAGTTGCAGAGGTGATGGCTTCACTTGTGCTGCTTACAGTTGTTGGAACAGCTGTGGTGCTTTCTGTAGCTGTTGTACTGGCTTCAGTACTGTTTGTTGATGCGCTGGTTTCAGTTGTTGTGCTAGGTTCTGTACTTGTTAAAGTGACTTCAGCGGCAGTGCTCCTGACAGTGGAGGACACCTTGCTGCCAATTGTTGATGTTGTCGTGTCTGCAACTGTGGATGTAAATGTAGCTTCAGTTGTAGAGGTGCTGGCTTCACTTGTGCTGCTTACAGTTGTTGGAACAGCTGTTGTGCTTTCTGTAGCTGTTGTGCTGGCTTCAGTACTGCTTGTTGTTGCGCTGGTTTCAGTTGTTGTGCTAGGTTCTGTACTTGTTGAAGTGAGTTCAGCGGCTGTGCTGCTGACAGAGGAGGACTCCGTGCTGCCAATTATTGAGGCTGTTGTGTCTGCAACTGTGGATGTAAATGTAGCTTCAGTTGTAGAGGTGCTGGCTTCACTTGTGCTGCTTACAGTTGTTGGAACAGCTGTGGTTCCTTTTGAAGCATTGTTGCTGGCTTCAGTCCTGCTTGTTGTTTCACTGATTTCACTTGTGGTGCTAGGTTCTGTACTTGTTGAAGTGACTTCAGCAGTAGTGCTGCTCACAGGGGAGGACTCCGTGCTGCCAATTGTTGATGTTGTTGTATCTGCAACTGTGGATGTAAATGTAGCTTCAGTTGTAGAGGTGCTGGCTTCACTTGTGCTGCTGTCAGTTGTTGGAACAGCTGTGGTGCTTTCTGTAGCTGTTGTGCTGGCTTCAGTACTGCTTGTTGTTGCGCTGGTTTCACTTGTGGTGCTAGGTTCTGTACTTGTTGAAGTGACTTCAGAGGCAGTGCTGCTGACTGTGGAGGACTCCGTGCTGCCAATTGTTGAGGTTGTTGTGTTTGCAACTGTGGATGTAAATGTAGTTTCAATTGTGCTGCTGTCAGTCGTTGAAACAGCTCTGGTGCTCTCTGTAGCTGTTGTTCTGGCGTCAGTACTGCTTGTTGTTGCGCTTGTTTCACTTGTGGTGCTAGGTTCTGTACTTGTTGAAGTGACTTCAGCGGCTGTGCTGCTGACAGTGGAGGACTCCGTGCTGCCAATTGTTGAGGTTGTTGTGTCTGCAACTGTTGATGTAAATGTAGTTTCAATTCTGCTGCTGTCAGTCGTTGAAACAGCTGTGGTGCTTTCTGTAGCTGTTGTGCTGGCTTCAGTACTGCTTGTTGTTGCGCTGGTTTCAATTGTAGTGTTAGGTACTGTACTTGTTGAAGTGACTTCAGCGGTAGTGCTGCTGACAGTAGAGGACTCCGTGCTGCCAATTGTTGAGGTTGTTGTGTCTGCAACTGTGGATGTAAATGTAACTTCAGTTGTAGAGGTGCTGGCTTCACTTGTGCTGCTTACAGTTGTTGGAACAGCTGTGGTGCTTTCTGTAGCTGTTGTACTGGCTTCAGTACTGCTTGTTGTTTCGCTGGTTTCACTTGTGGTGCTAGGTTCTGTACTTGTTGAAGTGACTTCAGCGGCAGTGCTGCTGACAGTGGAGGACTCCGTGCTGCCAATTATTGAGGCTGTCGTGTCTGCAACTGTGGATGTAAATGTAGCTTCAGTTGTAGAGGTGCTGGCTTCACTTGTGCTGCTTACAGTTGTTTGAACAGCTGTTGTGCTTTCTGTAGCTGTTGTGCTGGCTTCAGTACTGCTTGTTGTTTCACTGGTTTCAGTTGTGCTAGGCTCTGTACTTGTTGAAGTGAGTTCAGCGGCTATGCTGTTGATAGTGGAGGACGCCGTGCTGCCAATTATTGAGGTTCTTGTGTCTGCAACTGTGGATGTAAATGTAGTTTCAATTGTGCTGCTGTCAGTCGTTGAAACAGCTGTGGTGCTTTCTGTAGCTGTTGTGCTGGCTTCAGTACTGCTTGTTGTTGCGCTGGTTTCACTTGTGGTGCTAGGTTCTGTACTTGTTGAAGTGACTTCAGCGGAAGTGCTGCTGAACGTGGAGGACTCCGTGCTGACTGGCGTTGAAGTTGGTGTGTCTGCAACTGTGGATGTGCTTGTAGCTTCAGTTGTAGAGGTGCTGGCTTCACTTGTGCTGCTTACAGTTGTTGAAGCAGCTGTGGTGCTTTCTGTAGCTGTTATACTGGCTTCAGTACTGCTTGTTGTTTCGCTGGTTTCACTTGTGGTGCTAGGTTCTGTACTTGTTGAAATAATTTCTGTAGTAGTGCTGCTGACAGTGGAGGACTCTGTGCTGCCAATTGTTGAGGCTGTTGTGTCTGCAACTGTGGATGTAAATGTAGCTTCAGTTGTAGAGGTGCTGGCTTCACTTGTGCTGCTTACAGTTGTTGGAACAGCTGTGGTTCCTTCTGTAGCTGTGTTGCTGGTTTCAGTACTGCTTGTTGGTTCACTGATTTTACTTGTGGTGCTAGGTTCTGTACTTGTTGAAGTGACTTCAGCGGTAGTGCTGCTGACAGGGGAGGACTCCGTACTGCCAATTGTTGATGTTGTTGTATCTGCAACTGTGGATTTAAATGTAGCTTCAGTTGTAGAGGTGCTGGCTTCACTTGTGCTGCTGTCAGTCGTTGTAACAGCTCTGGTGCTTTCTGTAGGTGTTATGCTGGCTTCAGTACTGCTTGTTGTTGCGCTGGTTTTACTTGTGGTACTAGGTTCAGTACTTGTTGAAGTGACTTCAGAGGCAGTGCTGCTTACTGTGGAGGACTCCGTGCTGCCAATTGTTGAGGTTGTTGTGTCTGCAACTGTGGATGTAAATGTTGTTTCAAATGTGCTTCTGTCAGTCGTTGAAACAGCTATGGTGCTTTCTGTAGCTGTTGTGCTGGCGTCAGTACTGCTTGTTGTTGCGCTGGTTTCACTTGTGGTGCTAGGTTCTGTACTTGTTGAAATGACTTCAGCGGCTGTGCTGCTGACTGTGGAGGACTCCGTGCTGCCAATTGTTGAGGCTGTTGTGTCTGCAACTGTTGATGTAAATGTAGTTTCAATTGTGCTGCTGTCAGTCGTTGAAACAGGTCTGGTGCTTTCTGTAGCTGTTGTGCTGGCTTCAGTACTGCTTGTTGTTGCGCTGGTTTCAATTGTAGTGCTAGGTACTGTACTTGTTGAAGGGACTTCAGCGGTAGTGCTGCTGACAGTAGAGGACTCCGTGCTGCCAATTGTTGAGGCTGTTGTGTCTGCAACTGTGGATGTAAATGTAGCTTCAGTTGTAGAGGTGCTGGCTTCACTTGTGCTGCTGTCAGTCGTTGTAACAGCTGTGGTGCTTTCTGTTGCTGTTGTGCTGGCTTCAGTACTGGTTGTTGTTGCGCTGGTTTCACTTGTGGTGCTAGGTTCTGTACTTGTTGAAATGACTTCAGCGGCTGTGTTGCTGACAGTAGAGGACTCCGTGCTGCCAATTATTGAGGCTGTCGTGTCTGCAATTGTGGATGTAAATGTAGCTTCAGTTGTAGAGGTGCTGGCTTCACTTGTGCTGCTTACAGTTGTTGGAACAGCTGTGGTTCTTTCTGTAGCTGTTGTGCTGGCTTCAGTACTGCTTGTTGTTGCGCTGGTTTCAGTTGTTGTGCTAGGTTCTGTACTTGTTGAAGAAAGTTCAGCGGTAGAGCTGCTGACAGTGGAGGACTCCGTGCTGCCAATTATTGAGGCTGTCGTGTTTGCAATTGTGGATGTAAATGTAGGTTCAGTTGTAGAGGTACTGGCTTCACTTGTGCTGCTTACAGTTGTTGGAACAGCTGTGGTGCTTTCTGTAGCTGTTGTACTGGCTTCAGTACTGCTTGTTGTTTCGCTGGTTTCACTTGTTGTGCTAGGTTCTGTACTTGTTGAAATAATTTCTGTGGTAGTTCTGCTGACAGTGGAGGACTCTGTGCTGCCAATTGTTGAGGCTGTTGTGTCTGCAACTGTGAATATAAATGTAGCTTCAGTTGTAGAGGTGCTGGCTTCACTTGTGCTGCTTACAGTTGTTGGAACAGCTGTGGTTCCTTCTGTAGCCGTGTTGCTGGCTTCAGTACTGCTAGTTGTTTCGCTGATTTCACTTGTGGTGCTAGGTTCTGTACTTGTTGAAGTGTTTTCAGCGGTAGTGCTGCTGACAGGGGAGGACTCCGTGCTGCCAATTGTTGATGTTGTTGTATCTGCAACTGTGGATGTAAATGTAGCTTCAGTTGTAGAGGTGCTGGCTTCACTTGTGCTGCTGTCAGTCGTTGTAACATCTGTGGTGCTTTCTGTAGCTGTTGTGCTGGCTTCAGTACTGCTCGTTGTTGCGCTGTTTTCAATTGTTGTGCTAGGTTCTGTACTTGTTGAAGTGACTTCAGCGGTAGTGCTGCTGACAGTAGAGGACTCCGTGCTGCCAATTGTTGAGGTTGTTGTGTCTGCAACTGTGGATGTACTTGTATCTTCAGTTGTAGAGGTGCTGGCTTCACTTGTGCTGCTTACAGTTGTTGGAACAGCTGTGGTGCTTTCTGTAGCTGTTGTACTGGCTTCAGTACTGCTTGTTGTTTCGCTGGTTTCACTTGTGGTGCTAGGTTCTGTACTTGTTGAAGTGACTTCAGCGGTAGAGCTGCTGACAGTGGAGGACCCCGTGCTGCCAATTGTTGAGGTTGTCGTGTCTGCAACTGTGGATGTAAATGTAGTTTCAGTTGTAGAGGTGCTGGTTGCACTTGTGCTGCTGTCAGTCGTTAGAACAGCTGTGGTGCTTTCTGTAGCTGTTGTACTGGCTTCAGTACTGCTTGTTGTTGCGCTTATTTTACTTGTGGTGCTAGGTTCTGTACTTGTTGAAGTGACTTCAGCGGTAGTGCTGCTGACAGAGGTTGGTCCTGCAGTAGCTGTGTCTGCAAATGTTGATGTAAATGTCGCTCATTTGTATTCTTTTAGGCGTTCCTTTTTGATGTTTGGTTTTGTTTGATAGTTTACGAATTCGAACTTTTAATTAAATATGTTCATTTGTTCATTTTAGAGAGTTTGATGTCCGCTTTGTCTTTGTAAAGTTAACACATGGCTGTTTTTATGAATATATATGACATTTAATTTAAGTCAAACAACAAGCTCCTTTAATGCCCGTTTTGAATATCTCCACGATATATTCAAATGTATTTCTAATTAGAAACGTGTCGCATGTGTAACAATAAGAACCTTTCTTCTACGATATTGTATGTTTTGTTTTATGTATTTAGACATATGTGCATATAATATTGGATAGCTAGGGAAGTTTCCATGGGTATATGATACTGAACGTAATGATTTTGTATCTTAATGAAACGTGTAAATATATCCTATTCAGAAAAAAGTGGATATGTAGAATACTAGTACATGTATATTCTTTCCATACTTCTAGTTCATTCAAATTTAGCTTTCATCATTATGTATAATACTGTGCGCATTAATTTCTGAATGTCACGCAACTTGTAATTACTAGATACATATAAGTAAAAGAAAGATATATCTAGGAAATCCCTTTAAGTACTTTAATATACTTTTTTTTACAGCAAAATCATAAAAACTTAAGGAATGAAGGACACATGGTCACATGACACATAAATACTACCGAGTCTGCGATACTATACTAGTAATATGTGCAAGATATGATTTAACCCATCAGTACAGTAAAAGAAATTGACAGTTTGTTTTACTTTACAATCTTCAAAATTAAATACTGAACAATTTTCATATCTATACATACAATCTGCTCTAGACTCGCGAGGTAAGGAGTTGATCCTTACGTCGCGGGTCCACTTTGGGACCTGGATACCGGTCCTTTGAATGAAATCGTATAAACCGAGGTCCCGTGTCGCAGTAGGTGTTGACACGAAAAAGACCCCTCACTGCTCAATGGCTGTAAGTGCCGAGTATAGGACAAAATTTTCAGCTATCCAATGACAAGTGGTGGATTCTCCATATGAGTGAAAAATTCTCGAGAGGGACGTAAAACAACATACAATCAATCTATCTATCTATCCCCTCCTCCGTTTCCCTACACTATTTGTCCTACAAGTTGATGATGTCGAATGTAGGAAAAATATACTCAGTAAAACTTGGTAAATCACGAGCAGTATAATTACCTAAAAAAGTCAAAATGAGCTCATGCTGAGGTATTTTGTGAAATAGAGAACATAAAAAAATATTTTTTACATGGTTGCTGACAAATCTTATTTAGGTATAGTCTTATCTTATTTCACTGATGTGGCCTACGTCATAATTTGTTTAATCGGACTCGAGATTGTAAGCATGACACATTTTTATCATACTTATGTTTTGTTTAGCGATGTGTTAAGCAATATCGACCTAGCTTAATGAATAAAATGAAGAAATTGGGGGGGGGGGTTGTAATTTTCAAATGTTAGATGATCGATTTCTTTTTTGCAAATCAAGCTTTTTGTTATTATTTTTTTAAAAAATACCCTTCATGATCTTATATGGCGAAAGGTTCTTGCGTTTTAAAAATTTAAACGCTTTTCATATTCTAAAATATTTTAAGAAAATGTATACATACAATGTACACTTTACATATTATGTTCAAGGTCCTTTCTTTCCCCTAAATCTAGAAAACGGGTCATTTGATTTCAAAACAAAGCATCGTGATAATATTTGGCTATTGTAGACCACTCTTTGTTATGCTAAAAATATTTTGACAAAAATGTTAAAAAGCAGGAAAAGTTGAATATTGACTGAAACACAAAATAACTTCGACCCCCACAGGCAAACAAAACTGCGTTGTTCAGTTACAATGAAATATATTGAGATAATGAGCAGTATTCATGATCAAAAGTCCATAAAACAATACAAAATAGGAGCGGAGCAAACACGGACTTCCAAGACATCAGAGATGGGATGAGATGCCATAAAGGAGTGAGCATCCCCTGCCAATCGATCACACTCGCCGTCTGCTTCTTGTCATGAGCGAGAAATAACGGGGAAAATCCGTAAATATCACAGGTATTCCACAAACTTTCATTTCCTTATTCAAAACTGTATTCTAGAAGTAGACTAGACATAAATCCTATTTAAAAGTAAAAAAAACCCATATTTTCGGACCGGTATAACATTGAATTTTTATCCTGTTGAAAATTGACCTATGTTCATTTTTCAACGTTGAATATTGAATAAGGGGTACTTGGTAAAATGTAATAATTAAGACCAAGTGTAAAAACTTTAAATTTATACCCGGGTATTTTTTCTGATCGCTTTTGACTTCAACGCGTTGAAAATTAAGTCTGTTGAATATTGACCCAAACTAGAGAGCTTTGAACTGTCTATTGTTCACTGAGATTATCTAAATCCTCTTATTTATAATTCATTGTAAAAAAAAAATTAACTTTGTCAGAAAAATATCTTATCAGTTGAAGTTTTGAAGTACTCAGTGAAAAACTACCCGATTTTTTTTTGTGCATGACAACCTTACCTTTGACACCTCATATTAAAATTATACAGCATTTATTACAAAAAAACTCAAATCTGTAAATAAGGCAGAGATAGAATAAAGTGCTAAGGAAGTGTAAACATCCCATTATACAGGTGATAGCCTGATATCACATCACGAATAAGGATCGTCGACAATGGAAATAGGAAAAATGAAATAATCTTGTTTAATTCAAAATTTAGTTGTTAGTGACCTTGTGATCCCTTATTGTATCTAGTAAGTAAAACTTACAAATTAAATATTACGACAGAACCTGTGGTGTCTTGTACTTAAAGTTCATCAGAATATGATGATTGTCTCAAAAAAAAAATTGTACCTAGGGAACACAATTTAGTCTACCTTTCCTTAACTAGTATTTTTTCTTGTTATAGTAAATAGCAACATTTCAAGGTTTATGATAATTACACATTTAAGAAAATAATGTAAAAATAAAAAAGAATATGTGATCGGCAGCACACAGAAGCATGGTCATTTTTTAAGTACTGACCGTTGTTGTTGAAACACTGGTTTCACTTGTAAATACATTTATTAAATTTTTTGAGGTTGTTTAACAACTGTGGATGAAAATGTAGCTTCAGTTGTATCCTTTGACAGAGTCTAAATTTACCACACAGTTCTCTACCTTTTATAGGCTTAACTATTGTCAGTGCTGCTTAAAATTGTTGGAACAGCTTATGGTGCTTTCTGTAGCTGTTGTGCATGGCTTAAGTACTGCTTGTTGTATATTGTGTTCACATTGTGGTGAACTAGGTTATGTCAAAACAATTTTGAATCACTTCAACGGAAAGTGCTGCTGACAGTGGAGATCGTGCTGCCATTTTGTTTCCAAAAAGGTTACATTGTATTCTGCAATGTGGATGTAAATGTAGCTTGCACATTGTAGAGGTTTCTGGCTTCACTTGTGCTGCTTACAATGTTGGAACAGCTGTGGTGCTTTCTGTAGCTGTTGTGCTGGCTTCAGTACTGCTTGTTGTTGCGCTGGTTTCACTTGTGGTGCTAGGTTCTGTAAGTTTTGTTGAAGTGACTTCAGCGGTAGTGCTGCTGACAGTGGAGGACTCCGTGCTGCCAATTGTTGAGGTTGTTGTGTCTGCAACTGTGGATGTAAATGTAGCTTCAGTTGTAGAGGTGCTGGCTTCACTTGTGCTGCTTACAGTTGTTGGAACAGCTGTGGTGCTTTCTGTAGCTGTTGTGCTGGCTTCAGTACTGCTTGTTGTTGCGCTGGTTTCACTTGTGGTGCTAGGTTCTGTACTTGTTGAAGTGACTTCAGCGGTAGTGCTGCTGACAGTGGAGGACTCCGTGCTGCCAATTGTTGAGGTTGTTGTGTCTGCAACTGTGGATGTAAATGTAGCTTCAGTTGTAGAGGTGCTGGCTTCACTTGTGCTGCTTACAGTTGTTGGAACAGCTGTGGTGCTTTCTGTAGCTGTTGTGCTGGCTTCAGTACTGCTTGTTGTTGCGCTGGTTTCACTTGTGGTGCTAGGTTCTGTACTTGTTGAAGTGACTTCAGCGGTAGTGCTGCTGACAGTGGAGGACTCCGTGCTGCCAATTGTTGAGGTTGTTGTGTCTGCAACTGTGGATGTAAATGTAGCTTCAGTTGTAGAGGTGCTGGCTTCACTTGTGCTGCTTACAGTTGTTGGAACAGCTGTGGTGCTTTCTGTAGCTGTTGTGCTGGCTTCAGTACTGCTTGTTGTTGCGCTGGTTTCACTTGTGGTGCTAGGTTCTGTACTTGTTGAAGTGACTTCAGCGGTAGTGCTGCTGACAGTGGAGGACTCCGTGCTGCCAATTGTTGAGGTTGTTGTGTCTGCAACTGTGGATGTAAATGTAGCTTCAGTTGTAGAGGTGCTGGCTTCACTTGTGCTGCTTACAGTTGTTGGAACAGCTGTGGTGCTTTCTGTAGCTGTTGTGCTGGCTTCAGTACTGCTTGTTGTTGCGCTGGTTTCACTTGTGGTGCTAGGTTCTGTACTTGTTGAAGTGACTTCAGCGGTAGTGCTGCTGACAGTGGAGGACTCCGTGCTGCCAATTGTTGAGGTTGTTGTGTCTGCAACTGTGGATGTAAATGTAGCTTCAGTTGTAGAGGTGCTGGCTTCACTTGTGCTGCTTACAGTTGTTGGAACAGCTGTGGTGCTTTCTGTAGCTGTTGTGCTGGCTTCAGTACTGCTTGTTGTTGCGCTGGTTTCACTTGTGGTGCTAGGTTCTGTACTTGTTGAAGTGACTTCAGCGGTAGTGCTGCTGACAGTGGAGGACTCCGTGCTGCCAATTGTTGAGGTTGTTGTGTCTGCAACTGTGGATGTAAATGTAGCTTCAGTTGTAGAGGTGCTGGCTTCACTTGTGCTGCTTACAGTTGTTGGAACAGCTGTGGTGCTTTCTGTAGCTGTTGTGCTGGCTTCAGTACTGCTTGTTGTTGCGCTGGTTTCACTTGTGGTGCTAGGTTCTGTACTTGTTGAAGTGACTTCAGCGGTAGTGCTGCTGACAGTGGAGGACTCCGTGCTGCCAATTGTTGAGGTTGTTGTGTCTGCAACTGTGGATGTAAATGTAGCTTCAGTTGTAGAGGTGCTGGCTTCACTTGTGCTGCTTACAGTTGTTGGAACAGCTGTGGTGCTTTCTGTAGCTGTTGTGCTGGCTTCAGTACTGCTTGTTGTTGCGCTGGTTTCACTTGTGGTGCTAGGTTCTGTACTTGTTGAAGTGACTTCAGCGGTAGTGCTGCTGACAGTGGAGGACTCCGTGCTGCCAATTGTTGAGGTTGTTGTGTCTGCAACTGTGGATGTAAATGTAGCTTCAGTTGTAGAGGTGCTGGCTTCACTTGTGCTGCTTACAGTTGTTGGAACAGCTGTGGTGCTTTCTGTAGCTGTTGTGCTGGCTTCAGTACTGCTTGTTGTTGCGCTGGTTTCACTTGTGGTGCTAGGTTCTGTACTTGTTGAAGTGACTTCAGCGGTAGTGCTGCTGACAGTGGAGGACTCCGTGCTGCCAATTGTTGAGGTTGTTGTGTCTGCAACTGTGGATGTAAATGTAGCTTCAGTTGTAGAGGTGCTGGCTTCACTTGTGCTGCTTACAGTTGTTGGAACAGCTGTGGTGCTTTCTGTAGCTGTTGTGCTGGCTTCAGTACTGCTTGTTGTTGCGCTGGTTTCACTTGTGGTGCTAGGTTCTGTACTTGTTGAAGTGACTTCAGCGGTAGTGCTGCTGACAGTGGAGGACTCCGTGCTGCCAATTGTTGAGGTTGTTGTGTCTGCAACTGTGGATGTAAATGTAGCTTCAGTTGTAGAGGTGCTGGCTTCACTTGTGCTGCTTACAGTTGTTGGAACAGCTGTGGTGCTTTCTGTAGCTGTTGTGCTGGCTTCAGTACTGCTTGTTGTTGCGCTGGTTTCACTTGTGGTGCTAGGTTCTGTACTTGTTGAAGTGACTTCAGCGGTAGTGCTGCTGACAGTGGAGGACTCCGTGCTGCCAATTGTTGAGGTTGTTGTGTCTGCAACTGTGGATGTAAATGTAGCTTCAGTTGTAGAGGTGCTGGCTTCACTTGTGCTGCTTACAGTTGTTGGAACAGCTGTGGTGCTTTCTGTAGCTGTTGTGCTGGCTTCAGTACTGCTTGTTGTTGCGCTGGTTTCACTTGTGGTGCTAGGTTCTGTACTTGTTGAAGTGACTTCAGCGGTAGTGCTGCTGACAGTGGAGGACTCCGTGCTGCCAATTGTTGAGGTTGTTGTGTCTGCAACTGTGGATGTAAATGTAGCTTCAGTTGTAGAGGTGCTGGCTTCACTTGTGCTGCTTACAGTTGTTGGAACAGCTGTGGTGCTTTCTGTAGCTGTTGTGCTGGCTTCAGTACTGCTTGTTGTTGCGCTGGTTTCACTTGTGGTGCTAGGTTCTGTACTTGTTGAAGTGACTTCAGCGGTAGTGCTGCTGACAGTGGAGGACTCCGTGCTGCCAATTGTTGAGGTTGTTGTGTCTGCAACTGTGGATGTAAATGTAGCTTCAGTTGTAGAGGTGCTGGCTTCACTTGTGCTGCTTACAGTTGTTGGAACAGCTGTGGTGCTTTCTGTAGCTGTTGTGCTGGCTTCAGTACTGCTTGTTGTTGCGCTGGTTTCACTTGTGGTGCTAGGTTCTGTACTTGTTGAAGTGACTTCAGCGGTAGTGCTGCTGACAGTGGAGGACTCCGTGCTGCCAATTGTTGAGGTTGTTGTGTCTGCAACTGTGGATGTAAATGTAGCTTCAGTTGTAGAGGTGCTGGCTTCACTTGTGCTGCTTACAGTTGTTGGAACAGCTGTGGTGCTTTCTGTAGCTGTTGTGCTGGCTTCAGTACTGCTTGTTGTTGCGCTGGTTTCACTTGTGGTGCTAGGTTCTGTACTTGTTGAAGTGACTTCAGCGGTAGTGCTGCTGACAGTGGAGGACTCCGTGCTGCCAATTGTTGAGGTTGTTGTGTCTGCAACTGTGGATGTAAATGTAGCTTCAGTTGTAGAGGTGCTGGCTTCACTTGTGCTGCTTACAGTTGTTGGAACAGCTGTGGTGCTTTCTGTAGCTGTTGTGCTGGCTTCAGTACTGCTTGTTGTTGCGCTGGTTTCACTTGTGGTGCTAGGTTCTGTACTTGTTGAAGTGACTTCAGCGGTAGTGCTGCTGACAGTGGAGGACTCCGTGCTGCCAATTGTTGAGGTTGTTGTGTCTGCAACTGTGGATGTAAATGTAGCTTCAGTTGTAGAGGTGCTGGCTTCACTTGTGCTGCTTACAGTTGTTGGAACAGCTGTGGTGCTTTCTGTAGCTGTTGTGCTGGCTTCAGTACTGCTTGTTGTTGCGCTGGTTTCACTTGTGGTGCTAGGTTCTGTACTTGTTGAAGTGACTTCAGCGGTAGTGCTGCTGACAGTGGAGGACTCCGTGCTGCCAATTGTTGAGGTTGTTGTGTCTGCAACTGTGGATGTAAATGTAGCTTCAGTTGTAGAGGTGCTGGCTTCACTTGTGCTGCTTACAGTTGTTGGAACAGCTGTGGTGCTTTCTGTAGCTGTTGTGCTGGCTTCAGTACTGCTTGTTGTTGCGCTGGTTTCACTTGTGGTGCTAGGTTCTGTACTTGTTGAAGTGACTTCAGCGGTAGTGCTGCTGACAGTGGAGGACTCCGTGCTGCCAATTGTTGAGGTTGTTGTGTCTGCAACTGTGGATGTAAATGTAGCTTCAGTTGTAGAGGTGCTGGCTTCACTTGTGCTGCTTACAGTTGTTGGAACAGCTGTGGTGCTTTCTGTAGCTGTTGTGCTGGCTTCAGTACTGCTTGTTGTTGCGCTGGTTTCACTTGTGGTGCTAGGTTCTGTACTTGTTGAAGTGACTTCAGCGGTAGTGCTGCTGACAGTGGAGGACTCCGTGCTGCCAATTGTTGAGGTTGTTGTGTCTGCAACTGTGGATGTAAATGTAGCTTCAGTTGTAGAGGTGCTGGCTTCACTTGTGCTGCTTACAGTTGTTGGAACAGCTGTGGTGCTTTCTGTAGCTGTTGTGCTGGCTTCAGTACTGCTTGTTGTTGCGCTGGTTTCACTTGTGGTGCTAGGTTCTGTACTTGTTGAAGTGACTTCAGCGGTAGTGCTGCTGACAGTGGAGGACTCCGTGCTGCCAATTGTTGAGGTTGTTGTGTCTGCAACTGTGGATGTAAATGTAGCTTCAGTTGTAGAGGTGCTGGCTTCACTTGTGCTGCTTACAGTTGTTGGAACAGCTGTGGTGCTTTCTGTAGCTGTTGTGCTGGCTTCAGTACTGCTTGTTGTTGCGCTGGTTTCACTTGTGGTGCTAGGTTCTGTACTTGTTGAAGTGACTTCAGCGGTAGTGCTGCTGACAGTGGAGGACTCCGTGCTGCCAATTGTTGAGGTTGTTGTGTCTGCAACTGTGGATGTAAATGTAGCTTCAGTTGTAGAGGTGCTGGCTTCACTTGTGCTGCTTACAGTTGTTGGAACAGCTGTGGTGCTTTCTGTAGCTGTTGTGCTGGCTTCAGTACTGCTTGTTGTTGCGCTGGTTTCACTTGTGGTGCTAGGTTCTGTACTTGTTGAAGTGACTTCAGCGGTAGTGCTGCTGACAGTGGAGGACTCCGTGCTGCCAATTGTTGAGGTTGTTGTGTCTGCAACTGTGGATGTAAATGTAGCTTCAGTTGTAGAGGTGCTGGCTTCACTTGTGCTGCTTACAGTTGTTGGAACAGCTGTGGTGCTTTCTGTAGCTGTTGTGCTGGCTTCAGTACTGCTTGTTGTTGCGCTGGTTTCACTTGTGGTGCTAGGTTCTGTACTTGTTGAAGTGACTTCAGCGGTAGTGCTGCTGACAGTGGAGGACTCCGTGCTGCCAATTGTTGAGGTTGTTGTGTCTGCAACTGTGGATGTAAATGTAGCTTCAGTTGTAGAGGTGCTGGCTTCACTTGTGCTGCTTACAGTTGTTGGAACAGCTGTGGTGCTTTCTGTAGCTGTTGTGCTGGCTTCAGTACTGCTTGTTGTTGCGCTGGTTTCACTTGTGGTGCTAGGTTCTGTACTTGTTGAAGTGACTTCAGCGGTAGTGCTGCTGACAGTGGAGGACTCCGTGCTGCCAATTGTTGAGGTTGTTGTGTCTGCAACTGTGGATGTAAATGTAGCTTCAGTTGTAGAGGTGCTGGCTTCACTTGTGCTGCTTACAGTTGTTGGAACAGCTGTGGTGCTTTCTGTAGCTGTTGTGCTGGCTTCAGTACTGCTTGTTGTTGCGCTGGTTTCACTTGTGGTGCTAGGTTCTGTACTTGTTGAAGTGACTTCAGCGGTAGTGCTGCTGACAGTGGAGGACTCCGTGCTGCCAATTGTTGAGGTTGTTGTGTCTGCAACTGTGGATGTAAATGTAGCTTCAGTTGTAGAGGTGCTGGCTTCACTTGTGCTGCTTACAGTTGTTGGAACAGCTGTGGTGCTTTCTGTAGCTGTTGTGCTGGCTTCAGTACTGCTTGTTGTTGCGCTGGTTTCACTTGTGGTGCTAGGTTCTGTACTTGTTGAAGTGACTTCAGCGGTAGTGCTGCTGACAGTGGAGGACTCCGTGCTGCCAATTGTTGAGGTTGTTGTGTCTGCAACTGTGGATGTAAATGTAGCTTCAGTTGTAGAGGTGCTGGCTTCACTTGTGCTGCTTACAGTTGTTGGAACAGCTGTGGTGCTTTCTGTAGCTGTTGTGCTGGCTTCAGTACTGCTTGTTGTTGCGCTGGTTTCACTTGTGGTGCTAGGTTCTGTACTTGTTGAAGTGACTTCAGCGGTAGTGCTGCTGACAGTGGAGGACTCCGTGCTGCCAATTGTTGAGGTTGTTGTGTCTGCAACTGTGGATGTAAATGTAGCTTCAGTTGTAGAGGTGCTGGCTTCACTTGTGCTGCTTACAGTTGTTGGAACAGCTGTGGTGCTTTCTGTAGCTGTTGTGCTGGCTTCAGTACTGCTTGTTGTTGCGCTGGTTTCACTTGTGGTGCTAGGTTCTGTACTTGTTGAAGTGACTTCAGCGGTAGTGCTGCTGACAGTGGAGGACTCCGTGCTGCCAATTGTTGAGGTTGTTGTGTCTGCAACTGTGGATGTAAATGTAGCTTCAGTTGTAGAGGTGCTGGCTTCACTTGTGCTGCTTACAGTTGTTGGAACAGCTGTGGTGCTTTCTGTAGCTGTTGTGCTGGCTTCAGTACTGCTTGTTGTTGCGCTGGTTTCACTTGTGGTGCTAGGTTCTGTACTTGTTGAAGTGACTTCAGCGGTAGTGCTGCTGACAGTGGAGGACTCCGTGCTGCCAATTGTTGAGGTTGTTGTGTCTGCAACTGTGGATGTAAATGTAGCTTCAGTTGTAGAGGTGCTGGCTTCACTTGTGCTGCTTACAGTTGTTGGAACAGCTGTGGTGCTTTCTGTAGCTGTTGTGCTGGCTTCAGTACTGCTTGTTGTTGCGCTGGTTTCACTTGTGGTGCTAGGTTCTGTACTTGTTGAAGTGACTTCAGCGGTAGTGCTGCTGACAGTGGAGGACTCCGTGCTGCCAATTGTTGAGGTTGTTGTGTCTGCAACTGTGGATGTAAATGTAGCTTCAGTTGTAGAGGTGCTGGCTTCACTTGTGCTGCTTACAGTTGTTGGAACAGCTGTGGTGCTTTCTGTAGCTGTTGTGCTGGCTTCAGTACTGCTTGTTGTTGCGCTGGTTTCACTTGTGGTGCTAGGTTCTGTACTTGTTGAAGTGACTTCAGCGGTAGTGCTGCTGACAGTGGAGGACTCCGTGCTGCCAATTGTTGAGGTTGTTGTGTCTGCAACTGTGGATGTAAATGTAGCTTCAGTTGTAGAGGTGCTGGCTTCACTTGTGCTGCTTACAGTTGTTGGAACAGCTGTGGTGCTTTCTGTAGCTGTTGTGCTGGCTTCAGTACTGCTTGTTGTTGCGCTGGTTTCACTTGTGGTGCTAGGTTCTGTACTTGTTGAAGTGACTTCAGCGGTAGTGCTGCTGACAGTGGAGGACTCCGTGCTGCCAATTGTTGAGGTTGTTGTGTCTGCAACTGTGGATGTAAATGTAGCTTCAGTTGTAGAGGTGCTGGCTTCACTTGTGCTGCTTACAGTTGTTGGAACAGCTGTGGTGCTTTCTGTAGCTGTTGTGCTGGCTTCAGTACTGCTTGTTGTTGCGCTGGTTTCACTTGTGGTGCTAGGTTCTGTACTTGTTGAAGTGACTTCAGCGGTAGTGCTGCTGACAGTGGAGGACTCCGTGCTGCCAATTGTTGAGGTTGTTGTGTCTGCAACTGTGGATGTAAATGTAGCTTCAGTTGTAGAGGTGCTGGCTTCACTTGTGCTGCTTACAGTTGTTGGAACAGCTGTGGTGCTTTCTGTAGCTGTTGTGCTGGCTTCAGTACTGCTTGTTGTTGCGCTGGTTTCACTTGTGGTGCTAGGTTCTGTACTTGTTGAAGTGACTTCAGCGGTAGTGCTGCTGACAGTGGAGGACTCCGTGCTGCCAATTGTTGAGGTTGTTGTGTCTGCAACTGTGGATGTAAATGTAGCTTCAGTTGTAGAGGTGCTGGCTTCACTTGTGCTGCTTACAGTTGTTGGAACAGCTGTGGTGCTTTCTGTAGCTGTTGTGCTGGCTTCAGTACTGCTTGTTGTTGCGCTGGTTTCACTTGTGGTGCTAGGTTCTGTACTTGTTGAAGTGACTTCAGCGGTAGTGCTGCTGACAGTGGAGGACTCCGTGCTGCCAATTGTTGAGGTTGTTGTGTCTGCAACTGTGGATGTAAATGTAGCTTCAGTTGTAGAGGTGCTGGCTTCACTTGTGCTGCTTACAGTTGTTGGAACAGCTGTGGTGCTTTCTGTAGCTGTTGTGCTGGCTTCAGTACTGCTTGTTGTTGCGCTGGTTTCACTTGTGGTGCTAGGTTCTGTACTTGTTGAAGTGACTTCAGCGGTAGTGCTGCTGACAGTGGAGGACTCCGTGCTGCCAATTGTTGAGGTTGTTGTGTCTGCAACTGTGGATGTAAATGTAGCTTCAGTTGTAGAGGTGCTGGCTTCACTTGTGCTGCTTACAGTTGTTGGAACAGCTGTGGTGCTTTCTGTAGCTGTTGTGCTGGCTTCAGTACTGCTTGTTGTTGCGCTGGTTTCACTTGTGGTGCTAGGTTCTGTACTTGTTGAAGTGACTTCAGCGGTAGTGCTGCTGACAGTGGAGGACTCCGTGCTGCCAATTGTTGAGGTTGTTGTGTCTGCAACTGTGGATGTAAATGTAGCTTCAGTTGTAGAGGTGCTGGCTTCACTTGTGCTGCTTACAGTTGTTGGAACAGCTGTGGTGCTTTCTGTAGCTGTTGTGCTGGCTTCAGTACTGCTTGTTGTTGCGCTGGTTTCACTTGTGGTGCTAGGTTCTGTACTTGTTGAAGTGACTTCAGCGGTAGTGCTGCTGACAGTGGAGGACTCCGTGCTGCCAATTGTTGAGGTTGTTGTGTCTGCAACTGTGGATGTAAATGTAGCTTCAGTTGTAGAGGTGCTGGCTTCACTTGTGCTGCTTACAGTTGTTGGAACAGCTGTGGTGCTTTCTGTAGCTGTTGTGCTGGCTTCAGTACTGCTTGTTGTTGCGCTGGTTTCACTTGTGGTGCTAGGTTCTGTACTTGTTGAAGTGACTTCAGCGGTAGTGCTGCTGACAGTGGAGGACTCCGTGCTGCCAATTGTTGAGGTTGTTGTGTCTGCAACTGTGGATGTAAATGTAGCTTCAGTTGTAGAGTCCAATTAAAGATACAGTTATTAAATTTTGAGCTTCAGTTGTAGAGGTGCTGGCTTCACTTGTGCTGCTTACAGTTGTTGGAACAGCTGTGGTGCTTTCTGTAGCTGTTGTGCTGGCTTCAGTACTGCTTGTTGTTGCGCTGGTTTCACTTGTGGTGCTAGGTTCTGTACTTGTTGAAGTGACTTCAGCGGTAGTGCTGCTGACAGTGGAGGACTCCGTGCTGCCAATTGTTGAGGTTGTTGTGTCTGCAACTGTGGATGTAAATGTAGCTTCAGTTGTAGAGGTGCTGGCTTCACTTGTGCTGCTTACAGTTGTTGGAACAGCTGTGGTGCTTTCTGTAGCTGTTGTGCTGGCTTCAGTACTGCTTGTTGTTGCGCTGGTTTCACTTGTGGTGCTAGGTTCTGTACTTGTTGAAGTGACTTCAGCGGTAGTGCTGCTGACAGTGGAGGACTCCGTGCTGCCAATTGTTGAGGTTGTTGTGTCTGCAACTGTGGATGTAAATGTAGCTTCAGTTGTAGAGGTGCTGGCTTCACTTGTGCTGCTTACAGTTGTTGGAACAGCTGTGGTGCTTTCTGTAGCTGTTGTGCTGGCTTCAGTACTGCTTGTTGTTGCGCTGGTTTCACTTGTGGTGCTAGGTTCTGTACTTGTTGAAGTGACTTCAGCGGTAGTGCTGCTGACAGTGGAGGACTCCGTGCTGCCAATTGTTGAGGTTGTTGTGTCTGCAACTGTGGATGTAAATGTAGCTTCAGTTGTAGAGGTGCTGGCTTCACTTGTGCTGCTTACAGTTGTTGGAACAGCTGTGGTGCTTTCTGTAGCTGTTGTGCTGGCTTCAGTACTGCTTGTTGTTGCGCTGGTTTCACTTGTGGTGCTAGGTTCTGTACTTGTTGAAGTGACTTCAGCGGTAGTGCTGCTGACAGTGGAGGACTCCGTGCTGCCAATTGTTGAGGTTGTTGTGTCTGCAACTGTGGATGTAAATGTAGCTTCAGTTGTAGAGGTGCTGGCTTCACTTGTGCTGCTTACAGTTGTTGGAACAGCTGTGGTGCTTTCTGTAGCTGTTGTGCTGGCTTCAGTACTGCTTGTTGTTGCGCTGGTTTCACTTGTGGTGCTAGGTTCTGTACTTGTTGAAGTGACTTCAGCGGTAGTGCTGCTGACAGTGGAGGACTCCGTGCTGCCAATTGTTGAGGTTGTTGTGTCTGCAACTGTGGATGTAAATGTAGCTTCAGTTGTAGAGGTGCTGGCTTCACTTGTGCTGCTTACAGTTGTTGGAACAGCTGTGGTGCTTTCTGTAGCTGTTGTGCTGGCTTCAGTACTGCTTGTTGTTGCGCTGGTTTCACTTGTGGTGCTAGGTTCTGTACTTGTTGAAGTGACTTCAGCGGTAGTGCTGCTGACAGTGGAGGACTCCGTGCTGCCAATTGTTGAGGTTGTTGTGTCTGCAACTGTGGATGTAAATGTAGCTTCAGTTGTAGAGGTGCTGGCTTCACTTGTGCTGCTTACAGTTGTTGGAACAGCTGTGGTGCTTTCTGTAGCTGTTGTGCTGGCTTCAGTACTGCTTGTTGTTGCGCTGGTTTCACTTGTGGTGCTAGGTTCTGTACTTGTTGAAGTGACTTCAGCGGTAGTGCTGCTGACAGTGGAGGACTCCGTGCTGCCAATTGTTGAGGTTGTTGTGTCTGCAACTGTGGATGTAAATGTAGCTTCAGTTGTAGAGGTGCTGGCTTCACTTGTGCTGCTTACAGTTGTTGGAACAGCTGTGGTGCTTTCTGTAGCTGTTGTGCTGGCTTCAGTACTGCTTGTTGTTGCGCTGGTTTCACTTGTGGTGCTAGGTTCTGTACTTGTTGAAGTGACTTCAGCGGTAGTGCTGCTGACAGTGGAGGACTCCGTGCTGCCAATTGTTGAGGTTGTTGTGTCTGCAACTGTGGATGTAAATGTAGCTTCAGTTGTAGAGGTGCTGGCTTCACTTGTGCTGCTTACAGTTGTTGGAACAGCTGTGGTGCTTTCTGTAGCTGTTGTGCTGGCTTCAGTACTGCTTGTTGTTGCGCTGGTTTCACTTGTGGTGCTAGGTTCTGTACTTGTTGAAGTGACTTCAGCGGTAGTGCTGCTGACAGTGGAGGACTCCGTGCTGCCAATTGTTGAGGTTGTTGTGTCTGCAACTGTGGATGTAAATGTAGCTTCAGTTGTAGAGGTGCTGGCTTCACTTGTGCTGCTTACAGTTGTTGGAACAGCTGTGGTGCTTTCTGTAGCTGTTGTGCTGGCTTCAGTACTGCTTGTTGTTGCGCTGGTTTCACTTGTGGTGCTAGGTTCTGTACTTGTTGAAGTGACTTCAGCGGTAGTGCTGCTGACAGTGGAGGACTCCGTGCTGCCAATTGTTGAGGTTGTTGTGTCTGCAACTGTGGATGTAAATGTAGCTTCAGTTGTAGAGGTGCTGGCTTCACTTGTGCTGCTTACAGTTGTTGGAACAGCTGTGGTGCTTTCTGTAGCTGTTGTGCTGGCTTCAGTACTGCTTGTTGTTGCGCTGGTTTCACTTGTGGTGCTAGGTTCTGTACTTGTTGAAGTGACTTCAGCGGTAGTGCTGCTGACAGTGGAGGACTCCGTGCTGCCAATTGTTGAGGTTGTTGTGTCTGCAACTGTGGATGTAAATGTAGCTTCAGTTGTAGAGGTGCTGGCTTCACTTGTGCTGCTTACAGTTGTTGGAACAGCTGTGGTGCTTTCTGTAGCTGTTGTGCTGGCTTCAGTACTGCTTGTTGTTGCGCTGGTTTCACTTGTGGTGCTAGGTTCTGTACTTGTTGAAGTGACTTCAGCGGTAGTGCTGCTGACAGTGGAGGACTCCGTGCTGCCAATTGTTGAGGTTGTTGTGTCTGCAACTGTGGATGTAAATGTAGCTTCAGTTGTAGAGGTGCTGGCTTCACTTGTGCTGCTTACAGTTGTTGGAACAGCTGTGGTGCTTTCTGTAGCTGTTGTGCTGGCTTCAGTACTGCTTGTTGTTGCGCTGGTTTCACTTGTGGTGCTAGGTTCTGTACTTGTTGAAGTGACTTCAGCGGTAGTGCTGCTGACAGTGGAGGACTCCGTGCTGCCAATTGTTGAGGTTGTTGTGTCTGCAACTGTGGATGTAAATGTAGCTTCAGTTGTAGAGGTGCTGGCTTCACTTGTGCTGCTTACAGTTGTTGGAACAGCTGTGGTGCTTTCTGTAGCTGTTGTGCTGGCTTCAGTACTGCTTGTTGTTGCGCTGGTTTCACTTGTGGTGCTAGGTTCTGTACTTGTTGAAGTGACTTCAGCGGTAGTGCTGCTGACAGTGGAGGACTCCGTGCTGCCAATTGTTGAGGTTGTTGTGTCTGCAACTGTGGATGTAAATGTAGCTTCAGTTGTAGAGGTGCTGGCTTCACTTGTGCTGCTTACAGTTGTTGGAACAGCTGTGGTGCTTTCTGTAGCTGTTGTGCTGGCTTCAGTACTGCTTGTTGTTGCGCTGGTTTCACTTGTGGTGCTAGGTTCTGTACTTGTTGAAGTGACTTCAGCGGTAGTGCTGCTGACAGTGGAGGACTCCGTGCTGCCAATTGTTGAGGTTGTTGTGTCTGCAACTGTGGATGTAAATGTAGCTTCAGTTGTAGAGGTGCTGGCTTCACTTGTGCTGCTTACAGTTGTTGGAACAGCTGTGGTGCTTTCTGTAGCTGTTGTGCTGGCTTCAGTACTGCTTGTTGTTGCGCTGGTTTCACTTGTGGTGCTAGGTTCTGTACTTGTTGAAGTGACTTCAGCGGTAGTGCTGCTGACAGTGGAGGACTCCGTGCTGCCAATTGTTGAGGTTGTTGTGTCTGCAACTGTGGATGTAAATGTAGCTTCAGTTGTAGAGGTGCTGGCTTCACTTGTGCTGCTTACAGTTGTTGGAACAGCTGTGGTGCTTTCTGTAGCTGTTGTGCTGGCTTCAGTACTGCTTGTTGTTGCGCTGGTTTCACTTGTGGTGCTAGGTTCTGTACTTGTTGAAGTGACTTCAGCGGTAGTGCTGCTGACAGTGGAGGACTCCGTGCTGCCAATTGTTGAGGTTGTTGTGTCTGCAACTGTGGATGTAAATGTAGCTTCAGTTGTAGAGGTGCTGGCTTCACTTGTGCTGCTTACAGTTGTTGGAACAGCTGTGGTGCTTTCTGTAGCTGTTGTGCTGGCTTCAGTACTGCTTGTTGTTGCGCTGGTTTCACTTGTGGTGCTAGGTTCTGTACTTGTTGAAGTGACTTCAGCGGTAGTGCTGCTGACAGTGGAGGACTCCGTGCTGCCAATTGTTGAGGTTGTTGTGTCTGCAACTGTGGATGTAAATGTAGCTTCAGTTGTAGAGGTGCTGGCTTCACTTGTGCTGCTTACAGTTGTTGGAACAGCTGTGGTGCTTTCTGTAGCTGTTGTGCTGGCTTCAGTACTGCTTGTTGTTGCGCTGGTTTCACTTGTGGTGCTAGGTTCTGTACTTGTTGAAGTGACTTCAGCGGTAGTGCTGCTGACAGTGGAGGACTCCGTGCTGCCAATTGTTGAGGTTGTTGTGTCTGCAACTGTGGATGTAAATGTAGCTTCAGTTGTAGAGGTGCTGGCTTCACTTGTGCTGCTTACAGTTGTTGGAACAGCTGTGGTGCTTTCTGTAGCTGTTGTGCTGGCTTCAGTACTGCTTGTTGTTGCGCTGGTTTCACTTGTGGTGCTAGGTTCTGTACTTGTTGAAGTGACTTCAGCGGTAGTGCTGCTGACAGTGGAGGACTCCGTGCTGCCAATTGTTGAGGTTGTTGTGTCTGCAACTGTGGATGTAAATGTAGCTTCAGTTGTAGAGGTGCTGGCTTCACTTGTGCTGCTTACAGTTGTTGGAACAGCTGTGGTGCTTTCTGTAGCTGTTGTGCTGGCTTCAGTACTGCTTGTTGTTGCGCTGGTTTCACTTGTGGTGCTAGGTTCTGTACTTGTTGAAGTGACTTCAGCGGTAGTGCTGCTGACAGTGGAGGACTCCGTGCTGCCAATTGTTGAGGTTGTTGTGTCTGCAACTGTGGATGTAAATGTAGCTTCAGTTGTAGAGGTGCTGGCTTCACTTGTGCTGCTTACAGTTGTTGGAACAGCTGTGGTGCTTTCTGTAGCTGTTGTGCTGGCTTCAGTACTGCTTGTTGTTGCGCTGGTTTCACTTGTGGTGCTAGGTTCTGTACTTGTTGAAGTGACTTCAGCGGTAGTGCTGCTGACAGTGGAGGACTCCGTGCTGCCAATTGTTGAGGTTGTTGTGTCTGCAACTGTGGATGTAAATGTAGCTTCAGTTGTAGAGGTGCTGGCTTCACTTGTGCTGCTTACAGTTGTTGGAACAGCTGTGGTGCTTTCTGTAGCTGTTGTGCTGGCTTCAGTACTGCTTGTTGTTGCGCTGGTTTCACTTGTGGTGCTAGGTTCTGTACTTGTTGAAGTGACTTCAGCGGTAGTGCTGCTGACAGTGGAGGACTCCGTGCTGCCAATTGTTGAGGTTGTTGTGTCTGCAACTGTGGATGTAAATGTAGCTTCAGTTGTAGAGGTGCTGGCTTCACTTGTGCTGCTTACAGTTGTTGGAACAGCTGTGGTGCTTTCTGTAGCTGTTGTGCTGGCTTCAGTACTGCTTGTTGTTGCGCTGGTTTCACTTGTGGTGCTAGGTTCTGTACTTGTTGAAGTGACTTCAGCGGTAGTGCTGCTGACAGTGGAGGACTCCGTGCTGCCAATTGTTGAGGTTGTTGTGTCTGCAACTGTGGATGTAAATGTAGCTTCAGTTGTAGAGGTGCTGGCTTCACTTGTGCTGCTTACAGTTGTTGGAACAGCTGTGGTGCTTTCTGTAGCTGTTGTGCTGGCTTCAGTACTGCTTGTTGTTGCGCTGGTTTCACTTGTGGTGCTAGGTTCTGTACTTGTTGAAGTGACTTCAGCGGTAGTGCTGCTGACAGTGGAGGACTCCGTGCTGCCAATTGTTGAGGTTGTTGTGTCTGCAACTGTGGATGTAAATGTAGCTTCAGTTGTAGAGGTGCTGGCTTCACTTGTGCTGCTTACAGTTGTTGGAACAGCTGTGGTGCTTTCTGTAGCTGTTGTGCTGGCTTCAGTACTGCTTGTTGTTGCGCTGGTTTCACTTGTGGTGCTAGGTTCTGTACTTGTTGAAGTGACTTCAGCGGTAGTGCTGCTGACAGTGGAGGACTCCGTGCTGCCAATTGTTGAGGTTGTTGTGTCTGCAACTGTGGATGTAAATGTAGCTTCAGTTGTAGAGGTGCTGGCTTCACTTGTGCTGCTTACAGTTGTTGGAACAGCTGTGGTGCTTTCTGTAGCTGTTGTGCTGGCTTCAGTACTGCTTGTTGTTGCGCTGGTTTCACTTGTGGTGCTAGGTTCTGTACTTGTTGAAGTGACTTCAGCGGTAGTGCTGCTGACAGTGGAGGACTCCGTGCTGCCAATTGTTGAGGTTGTTGTGTCTGCAACTGTGGATGTAAATGTAGCTTCAGTTGTAGAGGTGCTGGCTTCACTTGTGCTGCTTACAGTTGTTGGAACAGCTGTGGTGCTTTCTGTAGCTGTTGTGCTGGCTTCAGTACTGCTTGTTGTTGCGCTGGTTTCACTTGTGGTGCTAGGTTCTGTACTTGTTGAAGTGACTTCAGCGGTAGTGCTGCTGACAGTGGAGGACTCCGTGCTGCCAATTGTTGAGGTTGTTGTGTCTGCAACTGTGGATGTAAATGTAGCTTCAGTTGTAGAGGTGCTGGCTTCACTTGTGCTGCTTACAGTTGTTGGAACAGCTGTGGTGCTTTCTGTAGCTGTTGTGCTGGCTTCAGTACTGCTTGTTGTTGCGCTGGTTTCACTTGTGGTGCTAGGTTCTGTACTTGTTGAAGTGACTTCAGCGGTAGTGCTGCTGACAGTGGAGGACTCCGTGCTGCCAATTGTTGAGGTTGTTGTGTCTGCAACTGTGGATGTAAATGTAGCTTCAGTTGTAGAGGTGCTGGCTTCACTTGTGCTGCTTACAGTTGTTGGAACAGCTGTGGTGCTTTCTGTAGCTGTTGTGCTGGCTTCAGTACTGCTTGTTGTTGCGCTGGTTTCACTTGTGGTGCTAGGTTCTGTACTTGTTGAAGTGACTTCAGCGGTAGTGCTGCTGACAGTGGAGGACTCCGTGCTGCCAATTGTTGAGGTTGTTGTGTCTGCAACTGTGGATGTAAATGTAGCTTCAGTTGTAGAGGTGCTGGCTTCACTTGTGCTGCTTACAGTTGTTGGAACAGCTGTGGTGCTTTCTGTAGCTGTTGTGCTGGCTTCAGTACTGCTTGTTGTTGCGCTGGTTTCACTTGTGGTGCTAGGTTCTGTACTTGTTGAAGTGACTTCAGCGGTAGTGCTGCTGACAGTGGAGGACTCCGTGCTGCCAATTGTTGAGGTTGTTGTGTCTGCAACTGTGGATGTAAATGTAGCTTCAGTTGTAGAGGTGCTGGCTTCACTTGTGCTGCTTACAGTTGTTGGAACAGCTGTGGTGCTTTCTGTAGCTGTTGTGCTGGCTTCAGTACTGCTTGTTGTTGCGCTGGTTTCACTTGTGGTGCTAGGTTCTGTACTTGTTGAAGTGACTTCAGCGGTAGTGCTGCTGACAGTGGAGGACTCCGTGCTGCCAATTGTTGAGGTTGTTGTGTCTGCAACTGTGGATGTAAATGTAGCTTCAGTTGTAGAGGTGCTGGCTTCACTTGTGCTGCTTACAGTTGTTGGAACAGCTGTGGTGCTTTCTGTAGCTGTTGTGCTGGCTTCAGTACTGCTTGTTGTTGCGCTGGTTTCACTTGTGGTGCTAGGTTCTGTACTTGTTGAAGTGACTTCAGCGGTAGTGCTGCTGACAGTGGAGGACTCCGTGCTGCCAATTGTTGAGGTTGTTGTGTCTGCAACTGTGGATGTAAATGTAGCTTCAGTTGTAGAGGTGCTGGCTTCACTTGTGCTGCTTACAGTTGTTGGAACAGCTGTGGTGCTTTCTGTAGCTGTTGTGCTGGCTTCAGTACTGCTTGTTGTTGCGCTGGTTTCACTTGTGGTGCTAGGTTCTGTACTTGTTGAAGTGACTTCAGCGGTAGTGCTGCTGACAGTGGAGGACTCCGTGCTGCCAATTGTTGAGGTTGTTGTGTCTGCAACTGTGGATGTAAATGTAGCTTCAGTTGTAGAGGTGCTGGCTTCACTTGTGCTGCTTACAGTTGTTGGAACAGCTGTGGTGCTTTCTGTAGCTGTTGTGCTGGCTTCAGTACTGCTTGTTGTTGCGCTGGTTTCACTTGTGGTGCTAGGTTCTGTACTTGTTGAAGTGACTTCAGCGGTAGTGCTGCTGACAGTGGAGGACTCCGTGCTGCCAATTGTTGAGGTTGTTGTGTCTGCAACTGTGGATGTAAATGTAGCTTCAGTTGTAGAGGTGCTGGCTTCACTTGTGCTGCTTACAGTTGTTGGAACAGCTGTGGTGCTTTCTGTAGCTGTTGTGCTGGCTTCAGTACTGCTTGTTGTTGCGCTGGTTTCACTTGTGGTGCTAGGTTCTGTACTTGTTGAAGTGACTTCAGCGGTAGTGCTGCTGACAGTGGAGGACTCCGTGCTGCCAATTGTTGAGGTTGTTGTGTCTGCAACTGTGGATGTAAATGTAGCTTCAGTTGTAGAGGTGCTGGCTTCACTTGTGCTGCTTACAGTTGTTGGAACAGCTGTGGTGCTTTCTGTAGCTGTTGTGCTGGCTTCAGTACTGCTTGTTGTTGCGCTGGTTTCACTTGTGGTGCTAGGTTCTGTACTTGTTGAAGTGACTTCAGCGGTAGTGCTGCTGACAGTGGAGGACTCCGTGCTGCCAATTGTTGAGGTTGTTGTGTCTGCAACTGTGGATGTAAATGTAGCTTCAGTTGTAGAGGTGCTGGCTTCACTTGTGCTGCTTACAGTTGTTGGAACAGCTGTGGTGCTTTCTGTAGCTGTTGTGCTGGCTTCAGTACTGCTTGTTGTTGCGCTGGTTTCACTTGTGGTGCTAGGTTCTGTACTTGTTGAAGTGACTTCAGCGGTAGTGCTGCTGACAGTGGAGGACTCCGTGCTGCCAATTGTTGAGGTTGTTGTGTCTGCAACTGTGGATGTAAATGTAGCTTCAGTTGTAGAGGTGCTGGCTTCACTTGTGCTGCTTACAGTTGTTGGAACAGCTGTGGTGCTTTCTGTAGCTGTTGTGCTGGCTTCAGTACTGCTTGTTGTTGCGCTGGTTTCACTTGTGGTGCTAGGTTCTGTACTTGTTGAAGTGACTTCAGCGGTAGTGCTGCTGACAGTGGAGGACTCCGTGCTGCCAATTGTTGAGGTTGTTGTGTCTGCAACTGTGGATGTAAATGTAGCTTCAGTTGTAGAGGTGCTGGCTTCACTTGTGCTGCTTACAGTTGTTGGAACAGCTGTGGTGCTTTCTGTAGCTGTTGTGCTGGCTTCAGTACTGCTTGTTGTTGCGCTGGTTTCACTTGTGGTGCTAGGTTCTGTACTTGTTGAAGTGACTTCAGCGGTAGTGCTGCTGACAGTGGAGGACTCCGTGCTGCCAATTGTTGAGGTTGTTGTGTCTGCAACTGTGGATGTAAATGTAGCTTCAGTTGTAGAGGTGCTGGCTTCACTTGTGCTGCTTACAGTTGTTGGAACAGCTGTGGTGCTTTCTGTAGCTGTTGTGCTGGCTTCAGTACTGCTTGTTGTTGCGCTGGTTTCACTTGTGGTGCTAGGTTCTGTACTTGTTGAAGTGACTTCAGCGGTAGTGCTGCTGACAGTGGAGGACTCCGTGCTGCCAATTGTTGAGGTTGTTGTGTCTGCAACTGTGGATGTAAATGTAGCTTCAGTTGTAGAGGTGCTGGCTTCACTTGTGCTGCTTACAGTTGTTGGAACAGCTGTGGTGCTTTCTGTAGCTGTTGTGCTGGCTTCAGTACTGCTTGTTGTTGCGCTGGTTTCACTTGTGGTGCTAGGTTCTGTACTTGTTGAAGTGACTTCAGCGGTAGTGCTGCTGACAGTGGAGGACTCCGTGCTGCCAATTGTTGAGGTTGTTGTGTCTGCAACTGTGGATGTAAATGTAGCTTCAGTTGTAGAGGTGCTGGCTTCACTTGTGCTGCTTACAGTTGTTGGAACAGCTGTGGTGCTTTCTGTAGCTGTTGTGCTGGCTTCAGTACTGCTTGTTGTTGCGCTGGTTTCACTTGTGGTGCTAGGTTCTGTACTTGTTGAAGTGACTTCAGCGGTAGTGCTGCTGACAGTGGAGGACTCCGTGCTGCCAATTGTTGAGGTTGTTGTGTCTGCAACTGTGGATGTAAATGTAGCTTCAGTTGTAGAGGTGCTGGCTTCACTTGTGCTGCTTACAGTTGTTGGAACAGCTGTGGTGCTTTCTGTAGCTGTTGTGCTGGCTTCAGTACTGCTTGTTGTTGCGCTGGTTTCACTTGTGGTGCTAGGTTCTGTACTTGTTGAAGTGACTTCAGCGGTAGTGCTGCTGACAGTGGAGGACTCCGTGCTGCCAATTGTTGAGGTTGTTGTGTCTGCAACTGTGGATGTAAATGTAGCTTCAGTTGTAGAGGTGCTGGCTTCACTTGTGCTGCTTACAGTTGTTGGAACAGCTGTGGTGCTTTCTGTAGCTGTTGTGCTGGCTTCAGTACTGCTTGTTGTTGCGCTGGTTTCACTTGTGGTGCTAGGTTCTGTACTTGTTGAAGTGACTTCAGCGGTAGTGCTGCTGACAGTGGAGGACTCCGTGCTGCCAATTGTTGAGGTTGTTGTGTCTGCAACTGTGGATGTAAATGTAGCTTCAGTTGTAGAGGTGCTGGCTTCACTTGTGCTGCTTACAGTTGTTGGAACAGCTGTGGTGCTTTCTGTAGCTGTTGTGCTGGCTTCAGTACTGCTTGTTGTTGCGCTGGTTTCACTTGTGGTGCTAGGTTCTGTACTTGTTGAAGTGACTTCAGCGGTAGTGCTGCTGACAGTGGAGGACTCCGTGCTGCCAATTGTTGAGGTTGTTGTGTCTGCAACTGTGGATGTAAATGTAGCTTCAGTTGTAGAGGTGCTGGCTTCACTTGTGCTGCTTACAGTTGTTGGAACAGCTGTGGTGCTTTCTGTAGCTGTTGTGCTGGCTTCAGTACTGCTTGTTGTTGCGCTGGTTTCACTTGTGGTGCTAGGTTCTGTACTTGTTGAAGTGACTTCAGCGGTAGTGCTGCTGACAGTGGAGGACTCCGTGCTGCCAATTGTTGAGGTTGTTGTGTCTGCAACTGTGGATGTAAATGTAGCTTCAGTTGTAGAGGTGCTGGCTTCACTTGTGCTGCTTACAGTTGTTGGAACAGCTGTGGTGCTTTCTGTAGCTGTTGTGCTGGCTTCAGTACTGCTTGTTGTTGCGCTGGTTTCACTTGTGGTGCTAGGTTCTGTACTTGTTGAAGTGACTTCAGCGGTAGTGCTGCTGACAGTGGAGGACTCCGTGCTGCCAATTGTTGAGGTTGTTGTGTCTGCAACTGTGGATGTAAATGTAGCTTCAGTTGTAGAGGTGCTGGCTTCACTTGTGCTGCTTACAGTTGTTGGAACAGCTGTGGTGCTTTCTGTAGCTGTTGTGCTGGCTTCAGTACTGCTTGTTGTTGCGCTGGTTTCACTTGTGGTGCTAGGTTCTGTACTTGTTGAAGTGACTTCAGCGGTAGTGCTGCTGACAGTGGAGGACTCCGTGCTGCCAATTGTTGAGGTTGTTGTGTCTGCAACTGTGGATGTAAATGTAGCTTCAGTTGTAGAGGTGCTGGCTTCACTTGTGCTGCTTACAGTTGTTGGAACAGCTGTGGTGCTTTCTGTAGCTGTTGTGCTGGCTTCAGTACTGCTTGTTGTTGCGCTGGTTTCACTTGTGGTGCTAGGTTCTGTACTTGTTGAAGTGACTTCAGCGGTAGTGCTGCTGACAGTGGAGGACTCCGTGCTGCCAATTGTTGAGGTTGTTGTGTCTGCAACTGTGGATGTAAATGTAGCTTCAGTTGTAGAGGTGCTGGCTTCACTTGTGCTGCTTACAGTTGTTGGAACAGCTGTGGTGCTTTCTGTAGCTGTTGTGCTGGCTTCAGTACTGCTTGTTGTTGCGCTGGTTTCACTTGTGGTGCTAGGTTCTGTACTTGTTGAAGTGACTTCAGCGGTAGTGCTGCTGACAGTGGAGGACTCCGTGCTGCCAATTGTTGAGGTTGTTGTGTCTGCAACTGTGGATGTAAATGTAGCTTCAGTTGTAGAGGTGCTGGCTTCACTTGTGCTGCTTACAGTTGTTGGAACAGCTGTGGTGCTTTCTGTAGCTGTTGTGCTGGCTTCAGTACTGCTTGTTGTTGCGCTGGTTTCACTTGTGGTGCTAGGTTCTGTACTTGTTGAAGTGACTTCAGCGGTAGTGCTGCTGACAGTGGAGGACTCCGTGCTGCCAATTGTTGAGGTTGTTGTGTCTGCAACTGTGGATGTAAATGTAGCTTCAGTTGTAGAGGTGCTGGCTTCACTTGTGCTGCTTACAGTTGTTGGAACAGCTGTGGTGCTTTCTGTAGCTGTTGTGCTGGCTTCAGTACTGCTTGTTGTTGCGCTGGTTTCACTTGTGGTGCTAGGTTCTGTACTTGTTGAAGTGACTTCAGCGGTAGTGCTGCTGACAGTGGAGGACTCCGTGCTGCCAATTGTTGAGGTTGTTGTGTCTGCAACTGTGGATGTAAATGTAGCTTCAGTTGTAGAGGTGCTGGCTTCACTTGTGCTGCTTACAGTTGTTGGAACAGCTGTGGTGCTTTCTGTAGCTGTTGTGCTGGCTTCAGTACTGCTTGTTGTTGCGCTGGTTTCACTTGTGGTGCTAGGTTCTGTACTTGTTGAAGTGACTTCAGCGGTAGTGCTGCTGACAGTGGAGGACTCCGTGCTGCCAATTGTTGAGGTTGTTGTGTCTGCAACTGTGGATGTAAATGTAGCTTCAGTTGTAGAGGTGCTGGCTTCACTTGTGCTGCTTACAGTTGTTGGAACAGCTGTGGTGCTTTCTGTAGCTGTTGTGCTGGCTTCAGTACTGCTTGTTGTTGCGCTGGTTTCACTTGTGGTGCTAGGTTCTGTACTTGTTGAAGTGACTTCAGCGGTAGTGCTGCTGACAGTGGAGGACTCCGTGCTGCCAATTGTTGAGGTTGTTGTGTCTGCAACTGTGGATGTAAATGTAGCTTCAGTTGTAGAGGTGCTGGCTTCACTTGTGCTGCTTACAGTTGTTGGAACAGCTGTGGTGCTTTCTGTAGCTGTTGTGCTGGCTTCAGTACTGCTTGTTGTTGCGCTGGTTTCACTTGTGGTGCTAGGTTCTGTACTTGTTGAAGTGACTTCAGCGGTAGTGCTGCTGACAGTGGAGGACTCCGTGCTGCCAATTGTTGAGGTTGTTGTGTCTGCAACTGTGGATGTAAATGTAGCTTCAGTTGTAGAGGTGCTGGCTTCACTTGTGCTGCTTACAGTTGTTGGAACAGCTGTGGTGCTTTCTGTAGCTGTTGTGCTGGCTTCAGTACTGCTTGTTGTTGCGCTGGTTTCACTTGTGGTGCTAGGTTCTGTACTTGTTGAAGTGACTTCAGCGGTAGTGCTGCTGACAGTGGAGGACTCCGTGCTGCCAATTGTTGAGGTTGTTGTGTCTGCAACTGTGGATGTAAATGTAGCTTCAGTTGTAGAGGTGCTGGCTTCACTTGTGCTGCTTACAGTTGTTGGAACAGCTGTGGTGCTTTCTGTAGCTGTTGTGCTGGCTTCAGTACTGCTTGTTGTTGCGCTGGTTTCACTTGTGGTGCTAGGTTCTGTACTTGTTGAAGTGACTTCAGCGGTAGTGCTGCTGACAGTGGAGGACTCCGTGCTGCCAATTGTTGAGGTTGTTGTGTCTGCAACTGTGGATGTAAATGTAGCTTCAGTTGTAGAGGTGCTGGCTTCACTTGTGCTGCTTACAGTTGTTGGAACAGCTGTGGTGCTTTCTGTAGCTGTTGTGCTGGCTTCAGTACTGCTTGTTGTTGCGCTGGTTTCACTTGTGGTGCTAGGTTCTGTACTTGTTGAAGTGACTTCAGCGGTAGTGCTGCTGACAGTGGAGGACTCCGTGCTGCCAATTGTTGAGGTTGTTGTGTCTGCAACTGTGGATGTAAATGTAGCTTCAGTTGTAGAGGTGCTGGCTTCACTTGTGCTGCTTACAGTTGTTGGAACAGCTGTGGTGCTTTCTGTAGCTGTTGTGCTGGCTTCAGTACTGCTTGTTGTTGCGCTGGTTTCACTTGTGGTGCTAGGTTCTGTACTTGTTGAAGTGACTTCAGCGGTAGTGCTGCTGACAGTGGAGGACTCCGTGCTGCCAATTGTTGAGGTTGTTGTGTCTGCAACTGTGGATGTAAATGTAGCTTCAGTTGTAGAGGTGCTGGCTTCACTTGTGCTGCTTACAGTTGTTGGAACAGCTGTGGTGCTTTCTGTAGCTGTTGTGCTGGCTTCAGTACTGCTTGTTGTTGCGCTGGTTTCACTTGTGGTGCTAGGTTCTGTACTTGTTGAAGTGACTTCAGCGGTAGTGCTGCTGACAGTGGAGGACTCCGTGCTGCCAATTGTTGAGGTTGTTGTGTCTGCAACTGTGGATGTAAATGTAGCTTCAGTTGTAGAGGTGCTGGCTTCACTTGTGCTGCTTACAGTTGTTGGAACAGCTGTGGTGCTTTCTGTAGCTGTTGTGCTGGCTTCAGTACTGCTTGTTGTTGCGCTGGTTTCACTTGTGGTGCTAGGTTCTGTACTTGTTGAAGTGACTTCAGCGGTAGTGCTGCTGACAGTGGAGGACTCCGTGCTGCCAATTGTTGAGGTTGTTGTGTCTGCAACTGTGGATGTAAATGTAGCTTCAGTTGTAGAGGTGCTGGCTTCACTTGTGCTGCTTACAGTTGTTGGAACAGCTGTGGTGCTTTCTGTAGCTGTTGTGCTGGCTTCAGTACTGCTTGTTGTTGCGCTGGTTTCACTTGTGGTGCTAGGTTCTGTACTTGTTGAAGTGACTTCAGCGGTAGTGCTGCTGACAGTGGAGGACTCCGTGCTGCCAATTGTTGAGGTTGTTGTGTCTGCAACTGTGGATGTAAATGTAGCTTCAGTTGTAGAGGTGCTGGCTTCACTTGTGCTGCTTACAGTTGTTGGAACAGCTGTGGTGCTTTCTGTAGCTGTTGTGCTGGCTTCAGTACTGCTTGTTGTTGCGCTGGTTTCACTTGTGGTGCTAGGTTCTGTACTTGTTGAAGTGACTTCAGCGGTAGTGCTGCTGACAGTGGAGGACTCCGTGCTGCCAATTGTTGAGGTTGTTGTGTCTGCAACTGTGGATGTAAATGTAGCTTCAGTTGTAGAGGTGCTGGCTTCACTTGTGCTGCTTACAGTTGTTGGAACAGCTGTGGTGCTTTCTGTAGCTGTTGTGCTGGCTTCAGTACTGCTTGTTGTTGCGCTGGTTTCACTTGTGGTGCTAGGTTCTGTACTTGTTGAAGTGACTTCAGCGGTAGTGCTGCTGACAGTGGAGGACTCCGTGCTGCCAATTGTTGAGGTTGTTGTGTCTGCAACTGTGGATGTAAATGTAGCTTCAGTTGTAGAGGTGCTGGCTTCACTTGTGCTGCTTACAGTTGTTGGAACAGCTGTGGTGCTTTCTGTAGCTGTTGTGCTGGCTTCAGTACTGCTTGTTGTTGCGCTGGTTTCACTTGTGGTGCTAGGTTCTGTACTTGTTGAAGTGACTTCAGCGGTAGTGCTGCTGACAGTGGAGGACTCCGTGCTGCCAATTGTTGAGGTTGTTGTGTCTGCAACTGTGGATGTAAATGTAGCTTCAGTTGTAGAGGTGCTGGCTTCACTTGTGCTGCTTACAGTTGTTGGAACAGCTGTGGTGCTTTCTGTAGCTGTTGTGCTGGCTTCAGTACTGCTTGTTGTTGCGCTGGTTTCACTTGTGGTGCTAGGTTCTGTACTTGTTGAAGTGACTTCAGCGGTAGTGCTGCTGACAGTGGAGGACTCCGTGCTGCCAATTGTTGAGGTTGTTGTGTCTGCAACTGTGGATGTAAATGTAGCTTCAGTTGTAGAGGTGCTGGCTTCACTTGTGCTGCTTACAGTTGTTGGAACAGCTGTGGTGCTTTCTGTAGCTGTTGTGCTGGCTTCAGTACTGCTTGTTGTTGCGCTGGTTTCACTTGTGGTGCTAGGTTCTGTACTTGTTGAAGTGACTTCAGCGGTAGTGCTGCTGACAGTGGAGGACTCCGTGCTGCCAATTGTTGAGGTTGTTGTGTCTGCAACTGTGGATGTAAATGTAGCTTCAGTTGTAGAGGTGCTGGCTTCACTTGTGCTGCTTACAGTTGTTGGAACAGCTGTGGTGCTTTCTGTAGCTGTTGTGCTGGCTTCAGTACTGCTTGTTGTTGCGCTGGTTTCACTTGTGGTGCTAGGTTCTGTACTTGTTGAAGTGACTTCAGCGGTAGTGCTGCTGACAGTGGAGGACTCCGTGCTGCCAATTGTTGAGGTTGTTGTGTCTGCAACTGTGGATGTAAATGTAGCTTCAGTTGTAGAGGTGCTGGCTTCACTTGTGCTGCTTACAGTTGTTGGAACAGCTGTGGTGCTTTCTGTAGCTGTTGTGCTGGCTTCAGTACTGCTTGTTGTTGCGCTGGTTTCACTTGTGGTGCTAGGTTCTGTACTTGTTGAAGTGACTTCAGCGGTAGTGCTGCTGACAGTGGAGGACTCCGTGCTGCCAATTGTTGAGGTTGTTGTGTCTGCAACTGTGGATGTAAATGTAGCTTCAGTTGTAGAGGTGCTGGCTTCACTTGTGCTGCTTACAGTTGTTGGAACAGCTGTGGTGCTTTCTGTAGCTGTTGTGCTGGCTTCAGTACTGCTTGTTGTTGCGCTGGTTTCACTTGTGGTGCTAGGTTCTGTACTTGTTGAAGTGACTTCAGCGGTAGTGCTGCTGACAGTGGAGGACTCCGTGCTGCCAATTGTTGAGGTTGTTGTGTCTGCAACTGTGGATGTAAATGTAGCTTCAGTTGTAGAGGTGCTGGCTTCACTTGTGCTGCTTACAGTTGTTGGAACAGCTGTGGTGCTTTCTGTAGCTGTTGTGCTGTCTTCAGTACTACTTGTTTAATGGACTTAGTTGGTAAGGTGTACTGCTGACAGTTGTGCTGATTGTTAGGTTGTTGTGTCTGCAGCTGTGGATGTGGCTTCAGTTGTAGAGGTGCTGGCTTCACTTGTGCTGCTTACAGTTGTTGGAACAGCTGTGGTGCTTTCTGTAGCTGTTGTCCTCCATTGTGCTATTTGTATTAGATACAGTGGATGAACCCGTACTATCCTCCATTGTGCTATTTGTATTTAATGGAGTCGTGGTATAGAAAGGTTCTGTTGAAGATGTATTTGTCTTGTTTTCTTCTGTGGTATTATTTGATTGTGAAGAAGTTGGCAAAGAAAGTGATGGATCGCTGGTTGTAAATGTGGACTCGGACTCCGTGATATTTAGCGGAAAACTTGTCGAGGATATTGTTGGATTTTCTGTACTTGAACTTTGTGCCTTTGTAATGACCCACAAGAAGAGAAGGATCCTTGAGGTATATAGTTTCCATGGTATTGATTTTTGTTGAGAGTTCATAAGTTGTATATTCACCGATTGTTCAAATGTTGTGCCGTTTGTCGAAATTTTCCCCGAATTCCATCCATTGAAAGTAAATATCTAACCTGTCTTCGTCATTTGTTCTGTAAAATGTTGGAGAATATATAAATTAAATCATGTTAAGTTTTACGTTTAATATTTTTTTTACTTAGTAACCGTTGACCTTAGTTGGATGTCAATGAGCAATATAATAATTGTCCTCCGCTTTACGCTCATTTGTCTGTCTGTTTGTTGTAAAAACTTTAACTTTGGTCATAACTTTTGAATGAGAAGAGATAGGGCTTTAATATTTCACACTTGCATTACTTGTGACAAGACCTTTTCAAATATACTATACTTTTTACCCCGTGACCTTGAACGTGAAGTTTGATCTACTTTTCAAAAATTTTAACATTACTTTATATTGGTAATAACTTTTGAAGAGAAAAAGGTAGGACATTCATATTATATCTTACATGCGTTTTACCTTTGACAATGCCTTTCTTAATATACAATGGTTTTTGAAATGGTGATCTTGACCTTGAAGTTTGGCCCAGTTAAATTTTCAAAAACTTAAAAGTAGGCCATAATTTCTTGATGAGAAGAGATCGGGCTTTCATATTTCATATGTGTATTACCTGTGACAAGACCTTTCTCAATACGCTGTGAATTTTGACTCCTTGTCGTTGAAATTGAAGCTTATTTTTCAAACATGTTATTTTTCGTTATAACCTTTGATCGAGCAGAGATGGGCTTTCGTATATGACGTACATTCCCTGTATCAAGATGTTTCAATGCTATAATTGTTTACCCGTTAAAATTTATGAAAATGTACTTTATTTTTAAGAAAATTCAACTTTGTTGATAACTTTGCAATGACGCATGATAGGGCATAGATATCTGATACAAAATGCCATAAATATTGGCATCCCATCCATTAAGATACCAAAAGCGGGGAACAATAATTGTTTGAATTTGCTTGTTTCCGTGTAAATCCAGAACAGAGTCAATTCCCAGTCGTAATGGGTTACATGTATCAAAATAGTCCAATTTTTATAAAATGGAAAAAAACTATAGGCCAATCGGAGATTAAATTTAAGAATTTCGTTAAGAAAGTACTATCCGTCAAAGTAGGCAGTTCATAATTTAAAAGTTGTGAACGAACCTACATGAACATTCACTAAACCTAAAAATTTTCTTTAATTGAATTAAGGATAGAAACACATACATATCGTCCACGTAATGTAGTCCTTTCTTTAAAGGACAGCAACTTTTTTTCATAATTGGGTTCACGATAGGGTTCGTGATGCACTAAATTTATTTCGTGATGCACTAAATTAATATTCTAAACGAGATTGTCATGATTTGAAACTTGCTGGACAGCTTTTACCTTGATTAGTTATAGATCAACTTGGCATTTCGTTCTGCTTCATTGCTTTTTGAAGGAAATATAGTATTTTTATTTTTTTTATAATTGGGTTCACAAAATAGGATTCGTGATGCACTAAATTAATGTTCTACACGAGGTTGTCATGATTTGAAACTTGCTGGATAGCTTTATAGTGACAAATATAGATCAAGTTTGATTTTTTGGTATAAAATTGCTTTTCATCAATGTAAAATGAGCTGTTCTGATCAAAACATTTGTGTGTCAAATGGCATTCAAAGATGTGGTCTTTCTTTGTAAGGAAGATCGATTTAATTCCAAGACATTTCATTCATAAACAAGTAAAAACCGAAATATCCTTATTTAAGTGGCACTTTTTCATACACAGGGTCTAATAAAATGACACCCTAAAGAAAAAAGGGGATCCCGGTAGGGGACATGTATTTCTCTTATAATGCTTATTATAAATAAGGTGTTAAAACTTCTACATGTAAATAAAAGTAAAGTACTCTTGTTTCCTTATATATCATATATACATGTGCTATATATTGAAGATGTGTTGGTTTACAATTTCAATTGACCATAATATTGAAAATATTTCTGTTGTAAGAGTACAGGATCCAGGGGTATCGACGTAAATATAAAATCCTTTAAAATCTAAATATTATGCAACCATGTCGGTTGTATTGATATAGGGTCATTCTATTTGTCATGTCTATATTTGTCTCTTGAGCGGATGAGACGAACCAAAAACGTTAACATCCTCTTTGTGTACATTACATCTAGATAATGAATATATTTTCTGTCAACTGTAATCATTTAAATTCTTAGGCCAATTTCCAGTTTAGCTCGGACTTTCAGTAAGGCGTTACATTCTCGACGTTACATATTAAATTAGTTTCTGAAATTTACACAGCTTTCCTTCGCTGTTGAAATATACATGGAATAGAAATTCGGGCAATTGCCAATTAGTGTATCGAATAACCAATAACATTGTCTCGTCCGGCTAAGAGGTGGGGCTTAAGTCGTCTCATCGTTGTCAACGACAATTTAAAGTTCCTGATGTTATTAATTTCTTAACCAATGAGAATCTATTCGCCATTTGACAGACGCTAATTACACAGCGCCGAGAATGCCAAGCCTTTCTGAAAGTCAAAGCTTACCTGGGAATGATTCTAATCTACATTGAATTGAACTGTTTTTCAATGTGTTGCTTGGTCATCAATCGTCACCATTTTCCTTCTGCTATAGACACTGTTCCTTTTTGAAAGCTTGGGAAAGTACCGTAAATGACACAGAGCATCTTCATTCTCAAAATGATGACATAATAAACAATGACATCATTTTTAAAACTTAAAATTATCTTTGCTTTTAATTTCTATTGTTTGAATAGTCTCTCTCCTTAACCCCCTTCTATGCTTTGAGTAACCCGTGCTTTGAAACTTTGTTTGCAATTACCGTATGCAGTTTTGAGAATACCTCTTATGAAAATAATAATCCAATGCCTGGTTTTATTTTTCAACTCCCTGTCTTGTCTGCAAAGGCGATTTATGAAAAATTTAAAATACCTGCGTCCGCACGTCAAGTTTACTTTTGTGTGGAGTTCCGAAATCGCAAAAACTTGACATTGTGTGCAGTGTAGCAACCGCTTATGATATAATGCCGCTTAATGATAGACGTATCATTAAGTGTTGAAATGCAACGCTTAATGTCATAAATCATTGCATTAACAGTCGACATGCTCATCCGCTTTTAATATCATTTAATGATATAATTCTTTCATTTAGCGGAAATCTAGCATTAGTCGGTTGAATAGGTCAACCATTAATGTAATAATTTATAGCATTGAGAGCGTCAACTGTAAAAGTCAGCGCTTCTCGTAAAAGTCCAATAGTCGGTTGAATAGGTCAACCATTAATGTAATAATTTATAGCATTAAGCGTTGTCGTTGCAACACTTAATGATATTTGTATCATTTAGTGACGTTATATCATTAACAGTTGCTACAGTGCAGTCCCGACATGGCGAGAATGTAATACCCGTAGCACTTAATTTGTGACGTATAATAAAATCATAATTTAACTTTTTAACCTTCGTATTATGATGTTTTGAATACCGTAACAGCAAAACACACATGTTATGCAGAACTCATTACATTATAGATTGTACTTGAAAATATTACCAAATTCTATAGACAGTGTAAATAAAAGAAAGCTAGGAAAAAATATCTTCAAAACTTGAATTGTTTCATAACCTACAAATCCTATATTATATTGTCACTAGAGGACGTTTTATCTATTCAGGACAGGAGGTACTTTGGTACTTCGTGGCTTTAGCTCCTTTGCCTTTTTACTTCACACTTTGATTTGTTCACATTTTTCTTAAAGATTCAGAATATTATAGCCCTCAAAATGCCAAAATAAGCTTATTACGAAAATAGAGAAAATAATATTTGTAACAAACTCGATTTTTTAAACCAGGTATTTTTTCAAAATCTTGGAAGGTAAATCGGATTTCATTTACTCTAGTCTAACTTCTGAGAGCCTTTGGTCATCTTATGTTTTATATTTCTTTCTCCAGGGCTGAGAAATTTCCGTACAATTTTAGTACATTGCAATCTTAATTGGGAAAGATATTTGACCCAGCGACTGACATGCCATTAATCGGATGTACCTTTAGAAATATAAGAATTCTGCGATCAAACTTAAAAAGTCTACTTAAATCACAATGAGGGCGTTTTGCCTCCCTGTTCTTTGTAGTCATGCATTCTTGTTATAAATACAGCGGATAAGAGACGGATTCACAGCTAAACAGAAATATTTTAAATCTATTCTTTACAATTGTCTAAAGTATTTATTAAATAGACCCCCACCGAATGTAAACGAACGATTGGTTGTTGAACGGTCAAGGAGAGAGAGAGAGAGAGAGCATAACTTTTAATAGATAACTTGTGAAATGTCAATTCCAATACTTCAAATAATTAATTTAAACACCATACCAAGTTTCACACCATTCAATAGATCACGAAACATGTATCAAGCTATATATACAGTATAACGCGATGTCACTTTACCTTTCGATAGCACACTCTGTCAACAATTGGTTCCCCAACTGCAACAAGTTTGACCTGATTTTCATGGAAATAAGAAGCTAATGACTTCGAAGTTTTTTCGTCATTTTCGTATTAATTTTTCAATAAATAGTGTTGTCACTGCATGTGACTAAAATTATAATATAGATGATGTTAAACATTCCTTCAAAATGCTACTCCGTCCGTAGCAATAAGTTTGTTCTATGGTTAGTCCTGATTTTGACAAAGCATTATACACCGTAATGAATGCATTGCATTGCAAGCCTTCGTCCTTTAATTGGCAATGTGATTTTTTTTTCAAATATTATATATGCCAAAGGTTGGTAGAAATGTAATGGGAAGACCGTGACAAAATCAGAATGGATCGAGTGTTTTAATTTATTAAAGAATAGTTTTTAAAAAGTTTAAGTGCAAAGACAATTTGTTTCCGGAGAAAATATACGTAAAAGAATTTAAAAAAACTATATGAATAAAATGTGAGGGTTCCATTCTGAAGTGTCCTGTTTTATCCCACATTATATACTAATAATCGGAAGTTCTTGTATTCCGTCGAAAGTCTTGGAATGTTGTGAGGCAATTTTCGAGGAATAAATGAGTGGTTAACGATAAAGAGGCTTGATCTGAAACGATGTGTTTAAAAAGATAAAAGTCTCTGGACGTGAACTATGACATATTGACATTAGTGAATAATTAATAAATTGATAAAATTGTCTTGAAGCGGGGGTGCCTGATATTGAGTTAAGTACCTTTTTGGTAAATATAAGTAGGAATAGGACATCCAGTTACTGGAATAGTGACAATGTTTTATCAATTTAAAAAAAAGTTTCTTAATTCCATTGATATGTCAACTTGATGTACCCCAATGAAGTCAATCTAAGACACCTTATAGAGTCTAACAGATCTGTTTCATATTTGTTTGCTTTACTAACTACAGAATATGATGGCATATTAACTACTTTAAAATTGGATGATGACAAAAGAAATGACTTCAGCTTTTGTATCGTCAACTTTCTTTATGATTGTTTCCAAACAAAGCCATGCACACGAACAAATTTTAAACCGAAACAGGTCATTGAGAGATAAGTTGATGTTACAACTTATATTTTAACAAGTTTGTTAAAAGTGAGCATTTCTTACTTTTTAACCGAGATATTTTATACCAGTTTACGGGACACGTCTCTTTAGACATGTTTTCACATGAAAGTTAAAAGTCACCTAATTCTGATAAAAAATTGACACACTACAAAACAGTCCTGCTTTTGCAATGTGATATCGGTACACATAAAAGGTCACGATCATTGACATTTCTCAGCGAATAATTTGGTTCAGTTCAGGCTGAGACGCGAGAAAAGAGAATGTTACTTTAAAAAGAATTATGTCTTAACATTCCTTTACGCATATTAATATTATTATGATAGCCTTAGCATCACTCGATAGTAATATTTATATATTAATGGATACCATTAATATATTCTACATTTCTAAAATTTATTTTCTGATTCCTATTTAATATTTTTTAACAAAATTGAAAGAGTCATTTGTCTTTTAATTTACTTTGCATTTATATAAAAGAAAATTTACAAGTATAATTTTACGAATCTTTATTAACGCACTTTAAAAAAAAATATAATACATTTTATGCAAATTTCAAATTAAATTAATAAGATGTGTTGATAAATAACAGATCCTGGTTTGATAACTTTTTTATGATAAAGTCAGTGAAGGTCATCATGAGATATTAACGTTTTAAATATTTAAGGTTTTGATAAAATAAAATGAAAAATTAAAAAAATCTTGAAAAAAAGAGTGACGATTGTTAAATTCATTAATTCGATTTTTTTTTTAATTCTAGTCTTTGATAAGTAGAAAAATGTATAGGTGGCACTAACAGAAAGGACAGCTTCAAGCCACTTAGCATTTATCATAATAAAAAGGGGCCAATTTGATTGTTCAAATTAGAAAATTCTTTCTCTCTAATACGTTTAATGTACTTAAAAACTTCTAGTTTTATCTGTTTTAATTAACTCATTTATTGTTGAAAGTTTTCAACGCCATACCAGTTAGGTAAATACATAGTTATATGAATGCTTTGAGTATAGCATAGTCTTGATAGTTGTGGCCAAGGTTATTTTTTCCAGGGGAGGGGACGCATTAGCTATACCCCCACTTATTTTGGAAAGATATATTCATCGTATAAGCATTGAAAATGCAGCGTACCCTTTTTAGGTTTATTGCTCCTTGTTTTTTACCGACACGTATTGGAAAGATAAAGATTTAACTGACCTCTTAGACCCTGAAATATAAACTTTAATCAAGATCATGACGCATGGAGTAAACTCAATTCATTTTTATTTAGGGTATATTAGTTTTTTGAAAGATAAATAACAAATAAATTCTTTCCATGACTAAAATATGATTTTTTTTTCAAAGTGCGTTAAGTGTACAGCCATGGTAAAATATATTGATGTAGACCCTTAACGCACTTTGAAAATTTTTTTCAAGTTGTTTGTTCCTAGAAAAATCTGGATTTTGGCCTCAAAAAAATTTTCAAAGTGCGTTGATTTTGTCCCAATTTTAACGCACTTTGAAAATTTTTTTCAAAGTGCGTAATTTTTTCAAAGTGCGTTGCCACCTACCATTAATATATTCTACATTTCTAAAATTTATTTTCTGATTCCTTTTTAATATTTTTTAACAAAATTGAAAGAGTCATTTGTCTTTTAATTTATCTTTGCTTATTTATATAAAAGAAAATACATAATACAAGTATAATTTTACGAATCTTTGATTTAAGGAGTGTAAAAAATTATATATAAATAGTATTTTATGCAAATTTCAAATTAAATTAATAAGATGTGTTAATGAAATACTGATGCTTCAGTATGGCAGCTCACTACTAAAGTTAAACTCATTTGAAATTTGCAAAACTCCAAAGTGAAGGTCATCATGAGCTAAAGACAGTTGGCACCCAAAGAAATTTGATACTTGTAGTTATGTCTAAAGGCGAACCAATGTGAAATTTAAAAAAATCTTACTGCTAACCTATCAGAGGTTGTGATCATGACCAATGTTAAATTAAAATATAAAAAAAAATGATTTAAATTTTAACGTAAAGTTCGAAAAAAATGATATACAAAGAAAGGACGTGTCACGTGACCCCTGTGAAATATAAAAGCTCCTAGCAACCACCATTTAAATTAATTGCCAAGGTTAGATCTTTCTTAAGTAGGTCAAGTTCTAAGGTCAAGGTCATGATATCAGTGTTGATACCCTTAGAAAAGTCTTGCCATAGGTCATATACTTGTTAATTATGATAGCCTTAGCATCATTTGATAGTTGTGGCCAAGGTTATTTTTTCCGGGCAGTCAAACACATTAGCTATACCGGGGTATATGCCGACGAATCTTAGATTGCGGGAGCATAAAAATTTTCGTTACACTTTAAATTAGACGATTTAACTTTCCTTGATTTCTTTGAATTTAACTGACCTTATAGATTTGAGATATAAACTTTGATCAAATCATGACGCATTGAATAGACAGAAACCATGGTTTTTTTTCTTGGTATATTATTTTTGCTTGTACATGTCAGTAGGTTGTCAACTACTTTAGTGATCTAGACTTTGAGATATTACCTCATGGTCATGAAGACTATCTTTACAGTTTCAGCTAAGCGTAAGTTTCATACCCTTTTCAATCGAAACTTTGGTCTTTCAATTGTTTGTTCCTAGAAAAATCTGATCTAAATATTCTTGGATTTTGACCTCAAAAATATTTTTTTTTATGAAATAATACTTTCATAACCTAAATTGGATGAAACTTTACACATTATCTTAATGAGATGTCATATATATTTCATCAAATCATGTGAACCTTACTGAATTACTTCGACTCTTACTTTACATGTACATATACTTCGTTTCGTTCCTCCTACATAAATCCTTTCTCCTTATAAATATTCTATTGTGAATATATGCATGAGTGCAGAGTGACACAGTTTTTGTCAAATAGTACATGTATATTCTTTACGATGCACTGTGAATGAACCTTCCATTCTTTGCCCTTGTACAATGTTTAATCATTCAGCCTGACCATATCCTTTTGAGTAGTAGGTGGACATATAAAGCGCAGATTCACCTTGGGTCACTTTTAAATCCCGATAAATCTAAGTAGACCAAACAAAAAGAGAAATGCTGATTGATACCTTAAATAATTTTACCGCCAGTGTTTCATTGGCTAGTTCTGTACAGTGGCACAGATAACCACAAGGGACTGAAATCAAAGGCAAATTAATTAAACAGGGGTGTGCACCAGTTTCATTGAAAAGAAAATAATGCGGATACATTTCCGCTATTGATGTGTGATTATTTAGACCCTTTTATCGAGTGAATGCTATCACATAGTAAACAACATTCTCACCCTATTTCTGTGGGTAAGAATCTTCCTCTGGGGGATTTTATTTGCCAATTAATGCTCGATTTTACCAACATGAACCTCTCTAGACATGTCGGAATGTATTCTTTAATCGCGTGACTCATTGGCTTTAAATTTTAGTGAAATGAAAAGATAATTTTTTAAAAATTTTAAATTATGCAAACTAAATAAATACTGCACAGATTTCTTTTTATCTTGTCACTGATAGACTGAACAAATTTACTTTTTCCTTGATTTGTCTTTGTTATTCCCCTGAGCAAATGACTGCATTATTTAAGTACATACTTGTGCAAGTTTTCGTATTTGAAAAAATTTTGAACTATTTTTTTATGGAAATTATCAGAAAATATTAAAAACCCGAAAAATAATTTCTCTTTATAACGTACCTTTTAATGTAGATTTTGAGAAACACCAGCTAAAGCAATACATGTATTTATGCTAATTTTTCTTATAAAATTACAAGGATGTTCATCATTTTATTTCTGGTCAAAGCCCTTGGTAATAAATGCTGATTTTTTTGTGTAAGATGATTTGTGTAACTATGATTTTAAAAATAAAGGAATATACGTTGCGTATGTTCTTATATGGAAGTGTTTCATTACATCATAGTTGAGTAACAATTATCTGAGTCCTTTGGTGTTTCTTGATTAAACAAATATAAATAAATAATTACTTTTATAGCAGAGGTTTCCTTTCCATCTGTATGTTTGTCTGTAACTGTCCATATGTGTCTTACGTGCTTTTCAAGCAAGGTCCTACACTATCACGTACAATATATGGCCTTTGGTGATTGGGTGTAGCTAATGGGTATAAGACCCAGATAAGGACACTGAGATACTTTTTATCCATGTAATTTTTTTAATTGGACCAATTGGACACATGCCCTATTTTATAAAAAATATCATAAACAAGCTGAGGTAATTTCATCCACACTTGTTCACAAGTAACAAAAATTATGTAAAAACTTGCTACCATTAGTAAATACGGAGTGTTTTTCAGCATATCTAGCATTGTTAAATCTTGTAATTACAAAGTGTACCTTGGGGTTGTCCAAGTTAGACATATATTCTAACAGCAGTAAAAATGGTATATAGTATCTTGTTTTTGTGAGAATGGTTTTTTTGCTTTTTCTTGTTCACCGAAATTATACATTCCAACTGCAACAGGTCAGAGTGAGGTCATCGTAGGAATGCGCATATTTCAACTAAAAAAAATGTTTTTAAAGAAAACTACAATAAATAATACTGTGGTGGCGAATTTCTGCAACTTCTTGTCAGAGTTAAGCAGTGAAGTTGTCAGCTCAAAATTGTTGACTTGCCACTCATGCGTGGCCAATGTTTAATTCAAAAGGAAAACGTGTTTGCTATTAACAAGCATGTCCAGTCAATGTCATTTCTGAATAATTATATGCCACCATATAATTGCCCTGCTCAATGGCCGTTAGTGCCGAGTATGTATACATGTATGACAAAATTTGTTGCTCTCCACCGGCTGCGGTGGCGTTTCCATATGAGTTTCAGATCACAGTGATGATTGTTGATTGATTGTGTGTTGTTTAACGTCCATCTCGAGAATTTTTCACTCATATGGAGACGCCACCACTTGCCGGTGGAGAGCTAAATGTTTTGTCCTATATACGGCACTTACGGCCATTGAGCAGGGGGGATCTTTTTCGTGCCAGCACCTACTGCGACACGGGACCTCGGTTTATATGGTCTCATCCGAAGGACTGGTCTCCACGTTCCCCAGCAGGATTAGAACCCGCGACGTAAGGATCAACTCCTCTAGAGTTAGACGCTCTAACCACTGCGCCATGCGGGCGACGTAATGAATGATGTAAAAATTTGACTCAAGCGCAATGGAGCTGGTATTCATTGGCAGTTTCTTTAAATGAAGAGAAACGTGTAATATTATAAGAAATCTGCACGAAATAAAAAGCAGTGATAGAATTCTTTTAACTTAAAATCAGCGTCACTTTGATGGAACTTTAATATATATATTTTTAAATCACCTTTTAAAAGAGTTAGAATTTATACATATTTTAAATTTATAAGTTTTGCAATTTTGTCTTGCATAATGAAAGAAATGCCATAAAAATGTAGATAATTATTACAAAAAAGTACTTATTAGAGATTAAACGTGGAAGACATGAAAATCTTTCAACTAATGATATGAAAGGTCACATGCGACCCATAGCCCTATGCCCTTATACATTATTTCTTAAATAAAAATCACTTTACTGATTTGGAGGGTCAGAATTTCCTGCAGATATTGGGCAGATCTTAAGTAAGCTCGTAAACAATTCATTAAAAATTAATTACTAGTAATAATTATCGAAAGATATTGATATCTAAATTTTTACCTTGAAATGAAATGGCAGTCATTTTGAATCTTATTCTGTTCTGCCGATTATCAGGTTATCCAAACAGATTTCTTACCACTAGGAAAACATTTGCTCAAATTAGGAACTTGGCAGTTTATGGGTTAAGAAAATTATCATTTCACATTGCTAAGTTTAACTAGGCTGTCTCGCCGGTCCACTGTAATTACTACCTAAGGTGGGGAATAAACGGGTCTAGCCGACACTCATAATCCAATATACATTGGCATTTGTAGTATATTGGAGCCACATTACAAGACAATCTAGCTGATATATTTTAGGTCATTGATTTTCATTAAATTTTAGTTAAGGAAAAAATTACTCGTAGGTTAATTTGATAGGCCAGGGCATTATAACAATTATTCTAACATCCGCTTTAACATTTTTGATTACCTAATTTTTCATTTTAGGATCTGTTAAATTCGGATTGCATATATTTTTTTATTAGATGAAATAACAATATATTGATTCACCATTTTATGTAGATTGATGTGAGCATGTGACTTTGAACTTCGACGGATCCCCAGTGACCCCGGAGACCCCACCATGCTTTTGTAATAAAATACTTATTTAAGTTAAGAGAACACCATCGTCACAAGCCACGGTTCGGATTCCGCATAAAGCCCCCCTCCTGGGATAGGATAGTACATTTTTGCCGTAGTTTGCTACGACGAAAGAATACCAGAGTGGCCAAAAGTTTTCAAAATAAGCATTTAAACGTCTACGTATATACATGTACATGTACATTAGTTAATTTTAGTGAAAATGAATCTTCTTCTCTGCTCCTGGGTATATTAAACAAACTAAGTATATATAGTTATAAGGCAGGCGCGTAGCATCGTTTTTGAAAGGGGGGGGGGGCAGCCAGAGAATTTTTTTTTACTTACCTGAAAAAGTTGACAAGCAAAAAAAAGAGAAAAAAAAAGGGAAAAGTTGCCCAAAGTCGAAAATCCAATTTTTTTTGGGGGGGGGGGGGGGGTTGTGTTGTTGAGGTAACCTTTTTCTCAGTGTCAACTACTTTCAGTACCAATTCTAATACTACATTTTCGGTACATCACATCAAGTGGGGGGCCAACCAGGCTTTCAATTAACATTTCCTATAGTATAAGTAAGGTTGGGAAAAAAAGTGGGGGGCCAGCCCCCCTGCCCCCCCCCCCTTTTGCTACGCCTCTGTAAGGAGGAAGGATGCCTCTTCTAAAATTGGATTTTTTTAGCCCCGAGGTCAGGGGTTCTGGTGTTAGGGCGGGCTATGTAGATTATATAGTAAAAATTAGTCTATGAAAATCTTCTCCTCTAGATCTGTTCCTTGGTATTAAGCAGATGATCTACCTATATAGCTAAGATGAACAGCTATTCCTCTTCGGAATCACAATTGTGAATTTCAAGGCCCCTGTATCAGGGTTACCATAGAGGACGGGGGTGGGGGTGGTGGTGGCTCTAATTATATTCTGAAAATGAATTCATGCTTTGAAATCTGCTCCTTGGTATTAGTCAAACATTTATGATGAGCAATGGTGCCTTTTCCAGAATTGTAAAATGTGTAGAACTAGGGTCATGGGTTCCATGGGGGAGGGGGCACACTTCTGATTACTGCTGAATACTACTGATTAGTTGAAATGCATCATTTTGTTCCTGTACTCTATATATGGGTATTATTAAGTAACCAAAGTAAGCATGCTAAGTGTATAGTTCTGATAGCAATGGTATCATGTTCAAAATTGTGAATGTTATGGCCTCTGGTTTAAAATAAGAAACAAATTCAATGGTTAGGAATCTGTTACATGATGCTCAGGTGACCTTTAAGGCCCAAAAGCCTCTTATTACCCAAATCCTTCACTAAGAGAAAAAAAACTCTTGAAAAATAAAAGAAAATTGTTAGAAAACTACATATTTTTAATTTAATTGTGTTTCGGTCTCTAAATATACTACTTATGTAGCATGCATTTTTATATTCTATTTTATAAGTATTAAATGTTAAAGCTTTGAAGATGCCTGTATATTGTATACACTTATCCACTGGTTGTGAGTGGAATAGCTCTTTCAAAGGTGACCTATAGGGCTTGCCCATGGGCCTCTTAAGGGTTTGATCCAAATCTTTCACAACCAGTGGATAAGCGTTTTATTATACTGATGTATAATATAATTTCTGAGGTTTGCATTTTTTGGAGTAAGATAATACTGCAAGAATAATATGAAATCTTTATGACGTCACAATGCTACTGAAGTCATTATGACATCATCAGTCAATAGATTTATCGCTGGAAATCAAAATTGGAGGCAAAAACTGCACGAAATTTTTCCGAGGGTGGATAGCAAAAACTATACCCCGGGGTATAGCTTTGCTATGCGTGAACTATAAAAGATAGTCATTTTACCTTCTGAACTTTATATAGGAATCATTTTAACAGAAGTATAATAATCATTATTATACAATTGATACCCACTACCACAATATATCTCATATATATGCAAATGTCATATGTCTACCTGTAATCGTTATATAGGTACATATGTGTGTCTGTAAATGATTTTTAAACTATATTTTAGGCCTTTCCTTCTTAAATTGTTCTCTTTAATTTATGCCCATTTGGGTACTGAATTAGTGATAAAACATCTCTTATCTTACCTTACCTTATCTATACATATAACTTAAAATGTTTCAGACAATCTTACTATTGCTTAATTTCCGGGT